AACCTGCTCATCAATCGGCGCAATTTCAAGCTCCACCTCCTTCACCAGCATTCAGCAACAACTATGCTGTCGTCCCCCCCCCTCCTCAAGCCACTAGCTACTTTCAATCCCAGGAAGCTCAACCTTCATCGCGCTCTCTTTCCGCTCGATTTGAACCTCAACAAAGGGCCTCTCAATATGGTATTCGACCTGAACCAGTTCAAACACCTCGAATGATCACAGGAGGCTATGAGCGAGAATACCATTATAGCGAAGATGAGTACGATGATAGTTATGAATCTTCCATTGAAGAGCCAGTCGGGAAAACCATCACCAGTAGCATACGTGTACCATCTGGGATCCCTTCAAGGACAAACAGCTCTGCTGTCTCGGAGAGTAACTTTAGCAAGGCAGACAGTTCGCGCAGTCGCGAAAGTAACTATAGCGAAGTGGAAAGCAGTTATAACAAGAGCAAGAGCAGCAGAGGCAGAAGAGACTCTCAGGCTATGCCACCACCACCTAAACCTACTATGCGACGACCAACAGTTGATGTGCCAGTATACGACGACACGCTTTCCCAATACAGCGTTGAAGAGTATCATGACGAACCTCATCGTCAAGCACCTCGTCAAGCATCTCGTCCTCGTCGACCAAGTCCTCATCGAAACTCAGTTTCATATGATGTGAGCGAACTACCCAGGGAAGCAGAGAGATTCAGACTTGAGACTGCCAGCAAGAATAGACGCCGACAAAGCTACTATGGACAATCTACATCTGCCTCATCCACTCAAGCGTCTACTACGGGGTCGACTGGCTATAACGCAAAACTTTCTGCAGCAGCCGATTATCTCGAGGAAGTCAGTGGTCCAACTATACCTCTCACTGCTGAGGCCTTGAAAAAAGAACAACGAAGACAGGCTGGAGGTAGTAGCAGAAGCACAAAGAGTAGTGGAAGTCATGACCTAAGTGATTATCGAGGCACACACACTACTCGTACGACCCGAAGTGGTGGCGATGATAATGTTACAATCGAGGTAACCGGTCAAGCCAAAGTCACAGTTGGTGGAGCTGAAATTCAATGCGAAGAAGGGGGAAAAATCCAAATTCACCGCACAGAAAAAATAATTCATGATGGAAGCCAAGCAACTGCATCGGAATATGGACTTGGACACGGACCTAAATTACTTGATGATCGTGAACGCCGAAGTCGACATGACCGAAGTGACAGTCAATCAGCCCGATCGCGCATGAGATCACAACATTCCTACACCCGAGTCTCACCTCGACCTCAAGAGCGGGACAGAGCACCCCGCGAACGCCGTGAGGACTATGAAGCTCGCACTGCCAGGGACTATGAATCTCGCACTGCCAAGGACTATGAATCCCGCACTGCCAGGGACTATGAACCTCGCATTGCCAGGGACTATGAATCTCGCAACGCCAACTGGGAGACTTCAACTACTTCTACTTGGCTTTAAATCTTTCACGCATCATATTTTATCTCCTTTTAGCGATTTATTTCTTGAATATTCGATTTAGCGACATGATTGTTTATGGCGATTTCATATCATTTCTTTTTGGATCTCTTTCTCTTCAAACATCTTTCTTCTATGTGCATATTGTTATGTGGTCATTACTTTCTCCTCTTCTTTGGTTTTTTCAGAAAAGCGGAAAAAGTTTATACCCCAAAAGCACTTGAGAGCACTTTTTATGTTTGTTTTTCTTTACTTATGGTGGAATGGAAATGTTTCAATATGATGAATGTACGACTTGTATGAGTTATGGTTATGAATCTCTTTTTCATGTCTCTTATCTTCACTTTGGCGATTGCCTTTTTTGATTTTGGATTGAAAGTATTGGGATTGGGATGAACTACAGATGCATGCACATTTGCTAGCAATGGCAGCATGTAAGATATGAATTATTGACAGAGATGTTTGTAAGAGTCGGCGTACATGTCTGGTACATGGTCTGTTTGGTATGATATACGAAAAGGATGGAGGGGATGGAAAATGGATGGATGGATTGGGTCTCCTTTAATGTTAGTGGGAACTCGTCTATCTATCAGTATTGTTTCAAGAACCTTCAGGATTGGATTGATTGATTGAAGGATTGTGGATTATAAGCTTTAGGGTAGCTTTAGATAGCTTTAGGATAGTTTTAAAATATGATACCCCTTTGTATTCCCTAGTTGTTGGGTTCTTGCAGTGAAGTGGAACTTGGTGAAGTGACTGTATTGTCAAGTTAGATACCCCAATGCGAGATTGAGTATTAGTTGTATCTTCTCATGCTAGACAAGTCAAGGAGTATCCCGGCGCTTACTAGAGAAGTCTCTGGATTTTGGCGTTGTTTAATATGTGTTCCTTGGGGTTACGATGCGATGCGATGCGATGTGATGCGGTCTACTTGAAGCACTCTGTGGGTATTGAGCGCGTGGGGAGGGGGGAAGGGGAAACACGTACGCGTCTTCTCCCCTCGATGATATAGATACTAGGTAGGTGGATGAGATACTATCATACGGATTCTTTCACAGTACTCTCTGTTTCTGATGCATTTCATCTGGGGATTGAGTGCTTTGGAATGACTCAATTCAGATCTCCGATGCACGAAGCATGAAATTTTTTATTCTTCGAAACACTTTTGTGCTCAGATTGTTGTGTTCCATTTTCAGAGAGATGAAGTCGATCGATCGTATCTGGTTTGTTTGCAGGGCCGATGTGGTATGGCTGCGGGTGGGATACTCAGGATGGGTGGGTAAAATACGGGTTGATTCCTTTGCATTTTTTGCTTTCGAGACGGGAGGTACGTATTGCTCTGTATTGCTCTGTATATCCCACCCATAGGAAAAATATTCACTCGCCCTTACTATCCTCATTTCAATACAGCTTTAAAGATACTCAGTTGATATATCAAAAAAGAAAAAGAAAAGGCACTATGGCGGAGTGGTTAACGCGACGCCCTGCTACTGGCTTGGACTTCCTGGTACGTCTCCTTATCGCGGTAGTGGTATTTTATCAGGAGATGGGTTGGACGGCTATCGTACAGGCGTTTCCTTCGGGAGCCAGAGTTCGAATCTCTGTGGTGTCGGATAATTTTTTGGGGTTTTTGGTTTGTTTTTTGTTTTTGTAGATTTTTGGATTTTGGGGGAGGGGGATTGGAAGAGTGGAAAGGAAAGGTGAGTGAATAATAAATGTAGAAGGAATTTATTATTATGTGGGAAAGAAAGAGAGAGGCGTGTTCAATTCACTCATTACTTGGCTGGATTTTAATCATTTGTTTTTCTCGTTTTTTTCCTTCCATTTTTGAGGAGTTGCGCAATCGAGGAGGAGTTTTGAGAGGTGTCGCGGCGGTTGTAGGTCTTTCTGCAGTGGTCTTTGATCGCGAGAGGTTGAGTCTGGTGGTGGTGCTTTGAAGTTGAGGGTTGGAAAGAATTGGTATCTGGAGTTGTTATGAGTATGAAGTGGCTATGCAGCGTGGTATATTTATTTTACTCGTTGTCTACATAGGTATGTGATGTTAGATGCAGGTTTTGAGCTTATAGCATATATGTATATCTCCAGATGGTGAGAATGTTGGAATTCTATGGACTATGAGATAGAGATTTTTGCAATCGATTCTATGCTGGACAATGCAAAGAGATGTGTAGCATACAGTATTGAAAAAATTCACAACGTATAAGTAGAGTGTGCGATGTAACTAGCAAAGAGCGCGAAAATAATATGTAGATGTTAGACATCAAATACTGTGAATGAAAAAGACGCAAAAGACAATCGAGAATCTAACCCGAGTTCTCAGTAAATCCGTTTGTAGCACGGATTGAATCTTCATCAGGCGAATATACAACCACCGACTCAATTCGCCATCCAAGCTCCCGAAAACAGTACCGACAACAGTACCGAAGACCGTCCCGAAGTCGGCACGAAACACAGACGTGCAACCAAATCCTCAACATGTCATCACGAACGTGATCTAGCGAAGCTAATCCGAGGACAATTATCGGGCGAAAAATCAGATGTGCAACAGTTCTCGGGTGTTGACTGTTTAGGAGCATTAGCTTGAGGATAAACCCCGGGATGGCGTGGGAGATGTGTAAGCAAGCGTAAGCAGAGGGGGATACTCGGTGTGTTTGACCTATTGGATGGCTTGGGGGAAGTCAGGAGGATGGAAAAAATGGATTGTGTGGTTGTGATGGGTTTAGGTGGGAGTGGATGGGAGTGGGTTGTAGTTGTCAGTGGCATGGAATTTCTATGGAGGGGCTGTTTCGTAGTGGGGGTATGGCGGATCTGATCAATCGGCTAATCTTATGTGGTATCGTGAAGAGGAGAATGATGTGAGATGAATCATGGATTTTTGTACTAATATATATGTTCTACAGTATACATCTAAAAGCACGGTGAAAAATGGATGAGATTTACAAAGAAATGTTTTTAGCGAGAGTTTAGGGGTGGGGTGGGGAGTATGACCTGGCACGTCTAGGGCATTTTTCCAAGGGATTGAGAATTGGATAATTCTTATGCAGTAAATGGTGCTCCAGTAAGCAATGAAGGGAGGTGAAAGTAAATTGATATGAGACACTGGTAGTAACACTAAGTTTCTAGACTTGAGATGGAGATATTGTTGTGATCGTTCAATAGTCAAGGAACATACTTGTGGAAATGCCAGGACGTCGGGTGATGCGAACACGAATGCGAAACTACCGGAGTTGCTATGCCTTCTGAGTTCCGGTGTTAGTGAAATTGATAAGAGTGCTTCGCAAGTAGGAATGTCTCTTGAAAATTATGTGAATTAGACAAGAATATGATTGAAAATAAACCACTGTTATCTTTTCGATGTTTTGAAAGCCTAATTCCATAGCCTCTTTACCAATATTATCTCATAAGCTATCAGTCTTGAGTCTCTTCCCACCACTTATGCTTACCGAGAACTATCATCTCCGAAGTTGACATGTTCGTAAGCTCCAGACACAACTTACAGGATTTTCGGAGAATTCCCAAATGGTTCATTGACAGTATGTACCTGGCCTATGCTACTTTCAAAGATGTCTTTCTAGCAAGATCATGATCTTCGATCCTCCCAATCGCTATTGGTATCTTCCTCGCCTGGGACGTTATTGGTCCTTGCTTCGATCCAATTATTGGTCCTTTGACGTCCCCAATGTCACCTCCCTCGAATTTGGTTGGCGGAGATTCTTCCTGAAAAAGCTTGAGTAACGCATCCACGTGAGTCTCACATCTTTTCGAAGTTTTCAGTAATTCCTCCTTGACTTTTTTCGGGGTGTTCTTTGCAACGATTTGAATAACCACCTTGATTTTTACTGCAGGAGCTTTCTCGAAAGATTCAGAATGCTTATGTGTCAAGGTCTCCGCGAGACTTGAAGGTCCCAGCGGTTCGGGCTGGACCCGATCTGATGTCGATGTCATATTTTGATTTAGAAGGCGGCATCTACAATCTTCGAGGTCACTCTTATCCAGTAAGAACCAAGGTTTCCCGGTATCACCAATCAAATAGCTGCAGACTTCGCCAGATCGCCAACATCCTAGATATGAGCTACATCAGCCTTTGTGTGATTCATTTGATTTGGCACGCAACTTACCCCTTGTATTAGTCAGTTCTCCGAGGACGCTTCCATGACTGATTATGACGACTTCGACCATGTTGGTATTCAATCGCAAGTCATTAAGCGCGAGTTTTAGAGCAGGAATATTCGATGTTCTATTGTTCGATGCCCATATACCAGAAGACTTATCGTTCCACCCTTCTTCAACTTTATCGAAGTCTACATGTTCGCCAAAATGTTTGCATAGATCCTCTTTGTCCATTCCTATGCCGTTCGGCGAAGTATCCCAATTCTGGAGTATTTCCAAAGCTTCAACTTTAACACCTCTAGCTATGGCTTTTTGGAAGCATAAAAGTGCCGTACAGATCGTTCTTGTCATGAGTGAACACCAGATGTGTGTGACATATCTGCTATCCAAGAAATTGTCCGAGAATTTCTGGCAATTTGAACGGCCCTCTGCAGTTAGATCTGGATCACAAATAAGAGCGAGTTGATCTGCGCTGAATCCTGCGGCTTTGTGTTCGCCCTAAAAATGATTCCTTAGATCTGACCATGTTCTTGTTCTAACTTCTAATATAAAATTTGGGATGCAGAGAAATACTAACCTTTTGATGACGCAAAAAGTGTGCTATGACATCCATCGCGAAGTAAATGCTACAGACACGAACTACATTTGAGATGGCGACAGCGGAAGAGATGGAAAGAGAGAGGCAGCATAACTGTTTGGAGACTTTAGAGTGCCTGTGAAACCCGGGGCATGTTGACTCAGAAGACTACGTTTTGTATATAATTGGACAACAAACCACGATGAATCCAGGAAAACCCGCTCCATATAAATATGCAACGAACCATTCCCTGGTATCAAAGTTTACGAGTTGAGCCATTGTGAGCCATCATTCGTTGTCGATTGAGCCTTTCAAGCGGGTGGCTGCATTTGAAAGGCTGACATGGAGCACTCAGTCATAGAAAATAAGATTTGATAGAGGAACGACAGGGCTACTTCTGGCATATATTCGTCGAATACTATTGTGTCCTTTTATGAACTCCCAGAGAGAGGCAAAAGAGAGGCATGCGCAGTGACTTCAGCACGATAAAATCTCTGCAAATGACACACTAAGTACATCACACTAAGGACATAGAAAGCCTATGACCTATTTCTTTAAAAGCTTTGTACTTTCTTATATATCCCAATTTTGCAGATCGAGACCAGATACTTTGGACAGGATATTCAGGAGATCTGGGACAGAGAAACATTAGACCAAATAGAGCATTAGGTTCATGATCCACTAGAACTATCAAGCACTTCATCGTCCCACATTCAGCCCTAAACATTTAGACTTCCCTAGTGCTCTCATATATTGTGTGCATATGCACGCAAGGCCAATTCAAATGGATTTGATGTGACTGATTGTTTATCTAGATCTTTCACAAGGGCCTAGAAGCGAGAACCACAACCAAAAATAGATTTAAGCACGTGCCTGGTTGCTGTGTAAACAAACAACAATAACCAGCCCAGCCTCCCGCTTTTTCCCCAGCCTCGTAATTTATTCCAAGGAACGTGAGTTGGCAATGCTATCCAACACAGGAACTTTTTACTGAATCTTTTAAGTCTTATCAATTTACTCCGGTAATTTTTTACTTTGTGAAGCTCAATTGACGAATATTTCAATTTACGATAACCCTTTTTCACTGCTGATGGTACGAGGCTGTACTTAGTTGGATGTCGAAGTAAATAAAACTTCATCATCTTCGAATACCAACCCAATCCACGGCGCTTCTTACGAAAATATATCAATCATGCCTGTCATCTCCTCTTACGTCTCCCCTCTCCTCAAACGTGCCGCCGTTGCTTCTCCATCTCCATCTTCCGATATCGTTTCTTCGGCACCAAACATCATCACCAAAGCTCTCTCCGCACGCGATGTAGTTCCCACAGTTGATCCCTCTAGTGGTGTCACACCTTTCGACACTGTTCCTAACAAATTCGTCTTCATAGTCATTGGACTGATTGGCGCTGGCTTTGTTATCACTGGTATCTGGTTCTTTTTCATCGCTAAAAACGGTGGATTTGTCTTTCACGAAAATGATTGGGATGATTATAAGTCTACGGTCTTGAGACGCAAAGGTCCCAATGGTACCACTCTCTCTGGAGCTTCAGAAGCTACGGATCTTGGAGGTGGTAGTATTGTACACGGAGAAAAGAAGAGAAGCACATGGGGAAGGAAGAACAAAAAGAGTAAGAGAGGTGGAAGTGGTATGGAAAGATCGAGATACAAGGACTATGATGAGGAAGAGAGTTCACTCGGTACGCAAAGTGAGGTCACCTATAGCGAGATGAGTGAGGTCAATTACCCACGAAAGGAAAAGAAGAATAAGAAGAGCAGACTCCGCGGTGGTGACTTGGGCGATGTACCTGAATCAGAATACGGCGACAATATTGCGGATCTTCGAGCATACCGCCATGAGAAACCAGCACGAGTCGGCGGCATGAACAGAGAAAGCGAATCTAGTATTTGGGAAGGATCTACAAACCCTGAAGGCTCAACTGTTTCTGATGGACTTATGCAAAACCGCGAGAGATCTCCTGAGCGTGCCCCTGAGAGGCCAAAGAAGAGTAACAACAAAGATCACTATAAAATTCGAAAGGTTATCGGAACAGTTCAAGGCCCACGTGTTGCTACTTCGACAAAGGATAATGGTGGAAGCTCGACTTTCTGGAACAGACAGAACACAACCAAAAAGAGTTCAAGACAAAGCGAAGCCGATTCAAGCGTAACGGATGATGAGAGAATCAAGGCAGAAGCCAAGAAACTTCAAGATAAGGGACGCGCAGCTCAACGTAGAGATTTCAGTTTCCGCGTTGGCGACGATAATAGTTCCGCAGCCGCATCTTCCCTCATTTCATCTCGTGACGCAGCCGCAATAAGAGACCAAGAGCGTCGTGAACGAGAGGCGAGACGTGCTAGGCGCGAGGCTAGAAAGCAAAGCAGAGATAAATCACATTTGGCTCCACCTGCTTATTCCGCTGCTGAATCGAGTATCGGTGGAAGCGAGTTGAGCAGTGTGAGAGAGGATAGTGAGGTTAGTGGGGATACTGGACACAAGAGTTATCCTTGCTTCATTCCGGGCTTGAGTAGTGAGAGAGGTGGAAATGAAACGGATTATACGGAAGATAGAAGGAAGAAGAGAAATGGGGGATACAGAAGGGAGTAAACGATCTGACGAGTGAGAAATGACTGGGATGCGATGCTTGTACGAATTGGTCTGGGATGGATGGAGGTAAATGGAAAGCAAATATTGGGACGAAATACGATACGATGTTATGTATGCGATGGTTGGATGCACGGATAGTCAGGATTGTGGATATAATGGGGATGGATAATTTCATAATGAACCATGGTTTTGCGCTTTTACAGGGAGGGAGTTCACATTATATGGCCACGGCCTTTCCAGGAATTGTAAGTGTAGAATTACAGTTTTAGACAGCAAACATTAGGGTATAGCGAATGAATACAAATGCATATGCACAGATAGTTTATTTTGTTCTCTACTCGACTTCGCTACATTGTGATGTCATCATACGAGAAAGGTTTCCTCCCTAAGCTCACCAACTGACACTTTCAGATTGCTTCTCTTAGGTATCTCTCCCCAACAAATTGAATATCAAGGGAACAAACTCCGTAAACAGAACACCCGTCAGTGCTCTCTTTGATCAGCATATCTCCTACTCTCGTTGAAAGTAAAAGTATCTCAGCTTCTCCGGTAGTGTGACCCATACACCAAAGAGGTTTTGCCGAAGGAAACTCCTTGGTAAGACACTACTCCGATGTATTGGGCTGGGAGAAGTGATGTTTGTTTCTTCATCCGGGTGTTCGTTTTAGAGATTTCTCTGCATCTTTGGGGGTAGGTAGCTAGACAAAGATAATGATTACTTACCGTTTACTATCATGTCAAGAAGCCGGTGATCGAATATTTTGATGCAAGAATTTATTATTTGGATGAATTTTTTGACTTTAAACCTAGTGCTTATGTTTTGCCGTCGAGCTCACAAGTTTCTTCTTGAGATGTTTGGGAATTTTGTCTTTTCTCTTTTCACGTTTTTCTTCTTTCACTGCTTTCTTGTGTTCCTATTGTTGGGAAATAGTGTTAGCTTCCAATAGATATGACAAGTAGCAAATTAATGGAGATAGTTGAGTGATGGTCAGACATAAAGTTCTCGTGTTTTGTAATCTGGTCCCAGAAGGGAGGTCATGTTTTGTGGATGGAAATTGGGTCATCATTCCGTGATAGGGGTATCAAGGGTAGACAGGCGAACAGCAAGACAAATACTTGAAATGGACATACCTTCTTAGCATCTTTATCCTCGAATCTCTTCCCTCTCGGTGTGCCCTTCTCAAATCGTTTCTCGTCGTCATCATCATCTCCATCCTCTCCATCTTCATCGCCCTCCGCATCTTCATCATCATCACTGGCCTGACTGGTACCGTCGCCCACCGTATCCTCTGCATCCGCCTCATTGCCCGAAGACATAGGCATTTTATCCGCAGCCAACAAATTTCGATACACAAGGTCGCCTCGTTCACCCTTTCCTACTTTCTCAGCATCGCGCTCGAAATCGTAGACTTGTTCTAGAGTTTGTGGTATGTATTGTTGACGGTAAACTTCGTTCTCTACTTGTCGTTTGGCGACAGCTTCTTCAGTTTCATCTTCTTCAGGTCTTTCAAGAAGCAGTTTCTCCAGCGCTTCACTGAGTCCTGGCTCCTGGGTTGGTCCATCATGGAAAGTGATAAATTGGTAAATGGTCTGTTCGGATAAAACTTCGACATTCTTGCGCTTGAAGAAATCGGATACGTTCTTGATATCCATTCGGAGGAATTCCAATGAACGAGGATGGTCGTGCTCAACACTTTGAGAAACATCGATAATGAAAAGTTTTTTCTGGTGGTATAATACATTGTACTCACTTAAATCTGCGTGAACAAGTTTACATGTTTGGTACATTCTTCGCATGAGTCCAATGAGTTGTAGGTAGAGCAATCGATACTGTTCATCGACGTCATCACCAGAGAGCTCTACATCTCTAAGTCTTGGTGCGGCCCATCCCTTCTTATCACCTAGGAACCCCATAACGAGGACATGTAGACGTAGATGGACAGGTTCTGGACAGGGGATTCCAGCCAAATGCAGACGTTTTAAATTTCGGAACTCCTTCTCAGCCCAGACTTTGACCATAGCTCTGTTATTTCCTTTGTTGTATCCTGATCTGAATCTATGTTCACCAGTAACATAACGATCACGATCCTTAAAGACCAAGATACTAGTCTTGTAGACCTTAATAGCCCGGTGAGTTGGTTGTGAATCTGCGTCTGTCGAAGGAATTGATAAGGCCCCATATACGTTGGCTTCCTTACCCGTACTTAAACATCCGTTGACTTCGGAAACAATACCTCTATTGATCATTTGAAGTAGAATCATACGTGTACGAGGATCCAAAACTTGTTCACTCGTCGCACGATCCGATTTATCTTTTCCGTGTGTTTTATGACCTCCATCGAAACTGCCATCCAATCTGATCTTAGCAGCATGTTTTGACAAACTGGTGATCTGATCATCGACACTTGCCTTGGTATTCGCAGCCGGTCTTTGAGGATTTATTCGAGGGGCACCAGTGGCGGTTGCATCATTGAGCTTGCGTTGACGGTTATAGGATTTGGTTAAATCACCAGAAGATGGGTCATAATCGACGTCGTCAACGTGTCCGTCATCTTCCTCATCGAATAAATCATCGTATGCATCGTCTTCGTTATCTGCAGCATATTCTGTATTTTCACCAGAAGTCGGAGTCATTGGAGGGGCATCTGAAGTGGCGGGGTGGGCATATCCTTGATTTGGAATATATGTGTGAGATGGTTCTTGTCCTGCTGCTGCAGACACAGGTGTGGGTATCTCGTTGTTATCTGCCATCTCTTCAATAAGCAGATTAATCTGGTATTGTGTATCGACCTCAGGTTCTTTAAAAAGTGGTGGGTAAAGAATGACTGGCTGAAATTATCATGGAGAATTTCTGCCACAGGGCGGTGAGACGTCACTTTTCTACGCTAAGAATCGCGACCTCAATCGCGTTTCTTGAGCTTTCAGCTTGTTGACGCGACAAACTCATTAAAACCTCGATTGAATACTGATTGTACAGTTGCGCTTGGTGGAACTCTCGCAAATTATTCAGAATAACTCGAGATAGTTTTCCCCTTTTGAAGCGCTCTTCATAATCAGCAAGAATAATCGTTGCCCCACTGGCGACAAGTGGTCGCGATGGTTTATATCAAGCAGATAAATATCCAGGGCTTCAAAAGGTGCGTTTTTCACTACGACAGAAGATAATGCATCCTAACACACACATACAGTTACAAGGATCAAACACTCATCGACGAATTCTCTCCAGCGACAAATGTAATTGTTGGCAGAAATGGATCTGGAAAGAGTAACTTTTTCGCGGCCATTCGATTCGTTCTCAGCGATGCGTATACTCAGATGGGTCGTGAAGAGCGACAGGCCTTGCTCCACGAAGGTTCAGGATCTGCGGTGATGTCCGCATATGTTGAAATTATTTTTGACAATTCCGACGGACGTTTTCCTACTGGCAAGAACGAGCTCTACCTTCGTCGGACAATTGGATTGAAGAAGGATGAATATTCTTTGGACAAGAAAAATGCCACGAAAACCGACGTTTTAAATCTTCTGGAAACCGCAGGCTTTTCTAGGTCGAATCCATATTACATTGTGCCTCAAGGACGTGTTACAGCTCTCACCAACATGAAAGATGGCGAGAGATTAAACTTATTGAAGGAGGTGGCTGGAACGCAAGTCTATGAGCAACGCCGTACTGAGTCCCTGAAGATTATGACAGATACTAATAACAAACGAGCCAAGATTGATGAATTGTTAGAATACATTAAGGAACGTCTGGCAGAACTGGAGGAGGAGAAGGAGGAATTGAGAGGTTATCAGGAGAAAGATAAGGATCGTCGATGTCTGCAATATGCTTTCTTTCACCAGGAACAAGTCGCCATTGCCGAAAAACTGGAGGAAATCGATGAGTTCAGACAAGGTGGCGGTGATGGTGACGAGAACAGAGACGCATTTATGGAAGGAGAAAAGGCCATCGCCCAACTAGACACACAAATCAAACAGTTGACTCGACAAATGGAGCTCCTCAGAGTAGACAGACGTCAATTGGAGGAGGATAGACGAGACACTGCAAAAGCTCGGGCCAAGATCGAATTAGACGTCAAAACATTAACAGCTAACCAATCGTCTACAGAACAATCGCGTGTAAGGCATCAGCAGGAATTGAATTCCGTGAAGGAAGAAATAGCTTCGAAAGAGGCCGAACTTGCACAATTACTCCCGGATTTTACGAGTCGAAAGGCTAGCGAAGCCGAAGTTAAGCGAAACCTTGACGAAGCGGAGGCTGGCAGAAATAGACTCTACGCAAAACAAGCTCGTAGCAACCAATTTAGAACAAAGGCCGAACGTGACCAATTTTTAAGGAAGGAAATCGAAGAGCTCAACTCCACAATTGGATCGCAGAAGGCAAATCGAATCGATGGTGACGAAGAGGTGAACAATGTGCAATCTGAAATCCGGAAATTGGAAACCGAAATCTGTGGCCTTCAGGAGCGATTAGACGGATGGAGTGGCAGTAGAATAGCCTTAGCCGAAGAGGTCTCTACTGCCAAAGAATCTTTAGAGAAGTTGCAGGATGAGAGAAAATTGCTACGAAGAGAGGACGAAAAGCTCCACTCGGTCATAGAGGATGCTCGCAAAGAAGTACTTCAAGCCGAATCGGAATTAGCAAAGACCATGGATAGCGCCACATCTCGTGGTTTAGCCACTGTTAGACGTCTCAAAAAGCAGCACAACATTCAAGGAGCATACGGCACTCTAGCAGAACTCCTTGAAGTCGAAGATATTTATCGAGTAGCTGTGGAACAGACCGCCGGTAGCAGTCTTTTCAATTACGTCGTTGATAACGAAGAAACCGCAACCCAACTTATCAACGCTTTAAACGCGGATAAGGGCGGAAGACTTACATTTGTTCCTTTGAGCCAACTCAGATTTAAACCAGGAAACTTACCAAATGCATCTGATGCCATACCTATGTTGAGCAAGATTCGGTACGACAAAAAATATGAGCCAGCCTTTGAGCAAGTATTTGGCAAGACCATCGTTTGTCCTAATCTCACAATTGCTGCTCAGTATGCAAGAAGTCACGGATGTAATGCCATTACACCAGACGGTGATACTACAAATAGGAAAGGTGCCTTGACTGGTGGATATCTTAATCCAAAGGAATCAAGACTTCAAGCTGTTCGTGCACTGACCAAATGGCGGGATGAGTACGAAACTTTAAAGGTACGACAAGATGAGATCAGAAAGGAAATTGAGCAAAAAGATCAAGAAATCACCGCCGCTTATACCGAAGAACAAAAGGCTAGTCAAAAGGAACACAAACTTGTTGACGGCCTGGATCCGTTAAAGTCAGGGCTGAGATCAAAACAAGCGCACCTTGAAAGACAGAAGGCACAGCTTGAACAACTTCTTCGCAATCAAGCAGATGTTCTCAAATTGTTGAAAGATCATGCCGCTAAAATTGCTGATTACGAAGCAGAAATTGCGTCTGATTTCAAGAAGGCATTGACGGCCAATGAAGAACGACAGCTTGAGCAGCTCAATGCTTCTGTCCAGGATCTACAAAAGCAATGGAATGAACACAGCAGAAGTCGAAGAGATCTCGAGAGCCGTAAGCAGATGATTGAGGTTGATCTCCGTGAGAATCTTAGACTCAGGCTTGATCAATTAAATAGTCAAGAATTCGATCTTGCTACCGGCAGTGGTTCTGGTAATTTGAAAGAGTCCCAAAGAGAATTGAAGCGTATCACCAAGGCTTCAAGTGCTGTAGAGTCAAAGCTCAAGGAGAATGAAAAGCAATTGGAGGAAGCCGAATCAAATATCAACAATTTGGAACAGGAGAGGAGTCGCCAAGAAGACGAGCAGAATAAGATTGCTGCGACAATTGAGAAGCACCAAAAGAGGATGGAGAAGAGTATTGCTCGAAAGGCCATCCTTACCACTAGTGCTGCAGATTGCGCCAAGAACATTCGCGACTTGGGTGTCTTGCCTGATGAAGCGTTCGAAAAGTATAAGGATTATGATCCAAAATCCGTAAGCAAACTTCCACGATAATCTTTCGTCCTGTGCACTAACATTTTTAGATTCAATCTCGACTCAAAAAGGTTCAAGAAGCTCTCAAGAAATATAAACACGTTAACAAGAAGGCATTCGAACAATACAATCAATTCACAACTCAGCGTGATAGTTTGACTAAGCGTAGGAAGGAACTTGATGATTCTCAATCATCAATTCAAGAACTCGTTGAAGTCCTCGATCAACGTAAGGATGAAGCCATTGAGCGAACATTCAAGCAAGTATCTAAGGAGTTTGCCCAAATTTTCGAGCGTCTTGTCCCAGCTGGTCGTGGTCGTCTTGTTATTCAACGTAAAACGGACCGTCGTGCAAGAGAGGAAGAAGATTCGGATGAAGAAGCACGGGATAGTGTCGAGAACTATGTTGGTGTTGGAATCAGTGTCAGCTTCAATAGTAAACATGACGATCAACAACGTATTCAACAATTATCCGGTGGACAAAAGAGTATGTTGTTCCTCTCCGCAAGTTCTTCATCCAGTATACTAATATGCCCTCCCTGTAGGTCTATGCGCCCTCGCTCTTGTTTTTGCGATTCAACAATGTGACCCAGCTCCTTTCTATCTCTTTGATGAAATCGACGCAAATCTTGATGCTCAGTACCGGACCGCTGTAGCTCAAATGCTCAAGGAAATCTCAGCCAAACAATCACAAGCTTCTCAGTCGCAAGATAACTCAGATGAAGAATCTGATAATGATGAAGATGGTGAAGGTGGTTCTAAGAAACAAAAAGTCATGGGTGGGCAATTCATCTGCACAACATTCAGACCAGAGATGGTACTAGTTGCAAATAAATGTTATGGTGTTACTTTCCATAACAAGACTAGTGGAATTGGTGTTGTTGGAAAGGAAGATGCGTTGAGCTTCGTCGATGGAGAGGCACCAAAATAGGTGTATTGAGTGGAAGCTATCGGTTTTCATATTTGTATTAGGAGATAGTAATTCGGCGTTACTTTTATTGTGATATCTTCTCCTGATTACAATTGAAATGTGTAATTTATTGTATTTAGCTTTGGCTTAATGTGCTTTATTGGAGGGGAAGAGGATGGAAAATCTGTGGTAAAAGGTTGGCCGTGTTAGGAAACACTTAACGCCTGGCTAGTCATGAGCGAAGTGTTGTATATGAACTTCAATTAAGGATTGTTAATATTCTGTGTTATAATGTATCATTATCTTTGACTTCATTCTATGTGAGATGCAAATGCTCATTTACATTCTGTACCTGCCAATCAAACAATATGGTTGGTTTTTGTCTCGTCTCTATTGAGCACATGAGCTAATGCTGATCTGATGGAGAGGAGTATGATGATGCGTTCAAATAGAATGTACGTTGCCGGATAGGTCCAGCATATATTGTATCTGAGCAGGAAGAGGTTAGACATCGTCAAGGTAAACCATAGTTACTGCTGCGGCATCTTATATCGTGCTCTATCTCTTTGATCTGTAAAAATTCAAACAATACAAAGAATTTACTGGAGACCGAATCACCCAACCCTTCTCATCCTAAAAGTAGCACTACCATCACTATCTTCCTTAGCTGTCACCACAGAATCATAAGTGGCATCGTCACTAATATTCTACGCTCAACACTAATCCATCGGATCCAAAAAGATACTCAAATTTCACATCAACATCCCATAAGAAAGCATGGGAGAGGTTTCGATCCACGTTAGTGAGAATGTAGAGTGTTTCATTTTCAGTTGGCTCCTTGCGGGAAGATTTCCGACAAGTAAAAGTCGGTAATATGGTAGCTAGAATCAGTGTTATGTACCTCATTTGCATATGCCCAGTCTGGTATATTGGACGAAGGAAGCGGATCGTACATCAGGACTACGGTAGCTAGTGATATTTGAATGATTTGATCAGCGGAAATCTATGAATGATTCACCAGTATGGGCGGAGACTAGGCTGAATTGGTAAGCTTCTTAGGTTGATTTATGAATACACGGATACAAAAGGCAATACTCTGAGCATGAATGGGAGACCCGGGCAGCTGATTCTGCACGTAGAACTCCCAAACCACACCAGAATTACCTGTTTCTTCTTCAAGTGGTACGTTCTCTAAACCCATTCATAGAGTTGAGTGGAGGTGTAGATCTATGTTCGCGAGTCGGATGTTCTGAAGATTTAGTATGGTGATTATCAATAATAGTAAGCGTTCTACTGTGACAAAGCTCTATATCTGAAACCCGAAATATATTGCTGTCAAGATAGTCATTATGGTTGTCATAGTTTAGAAATTGTCGTCACTAAAAGGTACTACCAAATATGATGTGACGGAGTTCAACACGGGAACATGAGCGCGATATACATGGAGTTACTGATTGAATGGAGAACAAGATTTTGAATCTTCCTCTAATGAGCTTTCCTCGAACTGGGGAGCTCATCTATTGAATTTTTCGGCCTCGAAATGCAATTCACAGACTTGATGATCCGGCCCAACCACACGACCTACACCTCTCATTCTCTTTTTATATAGAACTCCAGCTGATATGTATTTGATTTGCCACTCTTGCGAGATTCAAGGAGCCAGCAGACCATGACTAGGTGAAGACCGCACTTTCTGGCGAAGCTTTGCTTTATCTTTTACTTTATGGCATGTTCTTGAATTGTTCGTGCACTATACCTAAAAGGAGGCTCTAATTCGATGTCTTTCCAACATCGATTGTCATTACCGTCTCTTCTTTGTTACTGTCGAATTCCATTTCATAAATCGTGGATCAGTCACTCAAAATGAGAGTCTCGTTTGGCCGTATCTGTTTAGTCCCGAAGCCCCTAAACATGTATTTCAAAAGCTCATATAAGTCACTAGAAATTAATTGAGCGCTACGACAATAAAGCTTGAACTTTGAAGGTACAAGTATTTCAAAGAATTAGTATCTTGCCTGCCATTATACAACCAAAAGTTTGAACAATCATTTGCTGTGTCATCACTTAATCATTATCACAAAGGCTCGGGATTCGACAACAACTGCCTGGGTTTTTCAAGAAGCAGTATTGATAATTTTTCATTAAAACAACGACGAAAAAAGAAAAGCTGTTATTCTCGCTTCACTAATCGATCTCCCTTCCTCTCACGTAGCTTTTCCCCAGCACATGTACTTTGCTTGGCACAAACTCACCCCTTTTCTCTGCCCGCCTATGGTCTCACCCCTTCCACTCCCTACTCGATCCCATTACTATCCCCCTTCCCCGAAAAGCTTGCGGAACCTCTCGCCCCGAATTTCGGAGTAAAAGCAAAAGAGTAATAAAAAGCAGATAAAGTAAAATAGAATACCCAAATCTTTCGCCCTTCCTATTAATAAACAGTAAGAAATAAACTCATCGATGAGTCCTCCAAGAGTTGTTCGTGTCATTACTACCCTCGAACGTCTAATGGTTGAACTGACTTCTGCATTTTCTTCTCTGACTGTATTATTTGTTTATTGATAATAAAAATTTGTTGTTGGTTAGGCGAATGTGATTGCGATGATGGTTGATTTGATGTTGAATTTAATGCGCTGGAATAATAATGATATGTTAATTTTGGTGTGAAGCATGGGTTGAATCTGATGTTATATCAGGGATGATGTGAAGTGCGAAAGTGTTGACGAAATGGTCGATATTATCTGTAGTGAGCGTGTGTGGTGTTGGAACGGATATCGTGTAAGTATCTGAAGATGTGCAAAGTTTGCGGCAAAAAAAAAGGATTTGATGAAAATAATAGTTTTGTGGTGGTAAGAAAATGAGCGATGATAATCGTTTCAGTAAGCAATTTGCATTCATGATAGAAGATGATGGGGCGAGCATGTCCGCTGTTTTCTTCTTAATTAATCGGGCCCTCAGTCCTCCAAAGTTCCACACTGACTTCGAATGATTTAAAATCAGCCCAAGGAACCGAATCATCCTCTAGCGAGCAATAAAACTTTGAACCCGATTCGTTGCAAGAGTCTCTCTCTGTCCTCACTTGTGGAAGCAGTTCTTCTACAAACGCAGTATGATGCTCCTCTTCTTTAGGTTTGACTTCCTTGGCGAGGTACTCGGCAGCAGCATGATTCGCCATTTCCAAAACCGTGTATAGCTTGCTCGCGTCTGCAAAGCCAGCAGTACGGTCTATCATGCAGACTTTTTGAGTTTCGGAGTCAATTTCCTCAACGACTTTCTCAAATCGAATCGTGTAATATCGATTAGCAAAAATCGGGCGCACCAGTGTTGGATCGTATCTGTCAACATCTTCGGTGTTCATCGGCTTAAATGTGACAAAGACCTTGGTAGTCTTCTTTTCATCGTGAATAATTTCACCATGATACATGCGATCAGAATCCCACTTCTCCAGAATTTCCTGTTGTCTAAACATTTTGGTTCTCCATTCGTTGACAAGCATCTGTGCATGCTTGTTGGCCTTTTCAAGATCAAAGAACTTCTTCTTGAGAACTGCTTCATCTTCGTGTTCATGAAGTGTCACCTGTGTCATGACCATATATAAATTGACCATTTTATATGATGCAGGCTGCTGAGGCTTGTGAGGTACTGTTCTGATTAGTTGGCTCGGGCCTCCAAGTAACGGTGATTGAGTTCCTAGGTTACTGGAAGATCTTGGAGCGGATTGCCCCTCAAAGTAACTCGTCATATTTGGCATTGGTGGGACGATCTGGGCACTATGTTCATCGGGATTGAGCGTAGGGGTTGCTTCCTCAGACTCTCCTTCGGCATCTGAATCTTCTACGAAAAGATCTTCTATCTCTTTCTCAAGAGTGATCTCTTCCTGAGTCCGAGTTTCTGATAGGCTCTCATCGTTGTTTTCGCCAGCCTTCGCAACCTCTGTAAGAGCCTTATTTTTTCGAGCCTGTTCCATCAATATTTCCAGAGTTTCATCATCAATCGGATCCTCTTCAGACTCTTCCGACTCGTCCGAGTCGAAAATTGGTTCCAGTTTGTTAACTGGTTGTGGTTGGATACGTCGAGCTGCATAAGATTGCGCTCGTTCTCTCAATACCTCAGCCGTTTTGATTTTATGCTCTTTCAAGCCTCGAGTCAGAGAATCATCATCTTCTTCAATTTGATTAGAATCACTGGCAGTGTCGGAGGGTGAGACTTGTGTAACCACCCTGCCAGGATCGTCGGGTATGCTGGTGCCAGAAGCAGATTCATGTTCATGTTCATGCTCATTCGATGAAATCTTTTCTCCCGCACGATTTTTTTTTCGGTTTATCTCGCGCTTGAAAATCGGATTAGTGAAAATGTATAACTGTGAGTCATTATGGAAACATACCTCTCGCTTCTCCATCAACTTGTTAAGCCTAGCTTCCAGCTCAGACTCACCTAATATTCTGCCTTCTTTACGAGCCTCTTCAATAAGTTCTTTTTCTTTCCTCTTGCGATATTCAACTGTTCTCTTTTTCGCAGATGCAGCTTTTTTCTCCTCCAATCTTGCTCTGTTCGAGTTTTCCTTCCGAGCTTGTGCCGCAGCCTGGACTCTTTGGCGATTAGCTTCAATTTCCTCTCGCTCTGCTTGTGAAATCAGACGAGTTTCCGGTCTACTTGATGTAGTTGTAGACCTTACTGGTAGGGGAAGAGGGGGAGGTAGAGGCATTGGGAGTGGACGTGGTTTCGAGACTACAAGCTCCGTAGTAGATTTCTCAGTGGAACTCTGAGGATTTTCTGGTTGTTCGCGAGGAGTGTACCCTTCGCACTCGTGTCCGGGTAAGGGCTGTAACTTGACACTGAATATGGCACCTCCCAATAATTTTGTCAGCGACTGGGTCCGTTTCTTCTTTGCCTGGCTTTTCGTTGGCGCTTTAGGAGTTGTCTGCGGAGCAGCTTTACGAGCAACTATTTCAGGGTTTGGCTCCATGGGTATGGACTTGGCTCGTTTTTGCTTGGCAGCTGCAGTCTCGTTTGCTCTATTTTTGCGAATAGCTTCACGCTCAGCATCTCTATCTTCAAGAGTCTTGTCACCACTTGACATTTGAATCGTTTTGGCAAAGATTTCAGTCATACTAGCAGGAGGTCGATCATCCTCTAAAGACTGAACAATTGTCGAGTCACTACTAAAACTTCCTGTGGCACTTTGAAGACCATTCGAAATTTGCCGTTCTGGAGTGGCTTCTACAACTGTCTTTCGATTGTCTGAAACGAACAGCGAATCGTCATCCTCGACTTCGGTGTTAATTGGAAGTGTGATTTGAGGAGGTAAAGTCTTTTCTGTGTTTGAAGTAGCATCCAAAGGTGTTATTTGGGCTTGTATAGTGGATAATGGATCTTCCCTGTCAATTTCCATGCTTGTTGAAAGTGTGACTTGAGGAGGCAGAGAGTTCACTTTGTTTGGAATACCCTCCACGGTCGTAGACTTTCTCGCAGGTTTCAATTCCGCAATTGATTTTGCCTTGACTTGCGACTCAAGCTTTTCCAATTGACGTTTCATTTGCTCAAACTTAGAATCATTCTCTTTCCTTTCCTTTTCTGCAGCTTGGGCTTTTTCCTCGGCAGCTTTGGCCGCAGCCAAATCCTTTTCTCTCTTCTCTTGTAGTAACTTATTTGCAGCCTTACGTCTCTCATCTGCATTCTGTTGTTCTTTCAAGGATTGATGATGGCGTTCGGCGCCGCGTTTGGCTTTTTTGGCTGCTACCTCTTTCTCCTTCTCGGCCTGCTCAGCCGCTTTCCTCTCGCTCTCTTTCTTGTCTCTTGCTTCATTCTTCTTCCGCTTCCTCTCGGCATCAATGAGAGCTTGCTTCTCTTTTTCTTCCCGCAATCTTTGAGCTTCCAAACGTTTAGCTTCCTCAAGCTCTCTCTTTTCTTCCACAGTCTCGCCAATAACTTCTCCGAATAGCTCTTCTTGCAAAGCCTGATTGTCAGCATTGAGTTCTTGTCGGATAATCTTCTCAGCTGCTTGTCGTTGACGAATATTTTCTTCAGGTTGCTGTCCCTTGTTAGGGCTGGATCCAATGGCTTGTTGCTGATGAGTATTTTGACCAGGTTGTTGTTCACTTTTAGCGCCGAGACCATCTTGATCAGAGGGTTCCATGGGAGTCGATACTCTGATCGGGCCTCTTCTCGTTGGAGTCCAGTGCTGAGGTATAAAAGGTATTGAACTGCGGGCACAAAGACTACCTTCTGGCGTAACGAGATCGATAGTGACTCCCGACTTGTTAGATCTATTTGAATCACTGGATGGAGTTTGATGAACCTGTTCTGTGACTTCAGAATTCTCTCTTCGAAATACACTAGATTTAGGTAGAGCATTTATGAAGTTCATGGGACCGTTATGACCCCCCACGTGAGACTTGGACCTTCGGCGAAGATCATGTTCCAATGGTGTCTCGTAGATATCATCATCATCAATAGGACCATAATCAATTGTTCGGGCTTGACTTGGATTCTTCTGTAAGCTATTAGACGCAACTGATCTGATTTTCCCTGACTGATTCTTTGGCGTGTGTGGGGGTGGCTTTATGGAGTTGGGCTTGTCAATTCTCCATTGCAACCTGTCAGCAGAGGATGATTTGGGTAAAGCAGAATCATGGCTTGACCATAATGGCGAGCGAAGTTGGTGCTCCTCTTCTTGTCTCTGGGCTCTGACACTGTATGTAACATTTTCAGTGCCCAGATATTGAATATCGCTATTGTCCTTGGAGATTCGCGGGGCTAAACTTTGTGGACGAGATTGACTATGACGTTGCCTTTGCTTGGGTGTACCAACTGATTCCTGATTGACTCTTGAAGTTCCTTTGCGACTTCTACCAGCTGTCTTGTGAGCATCTGTGCTAGGTTGCATAGATACGTAGGTTGGCTCCTCCTTCATGCGCCTCTTAGTTTGAGCATTATTCTGCGCTGGAAAGACACTTAATTGCCTGTCGAATTGCTGATTGTAACCCTCCATTATAGCATAACCTTGATCATCGTATAAGTCTCCTGCACGTGAACGGCTACGAGCGATTGATTTTTTACTAACTGCCGCGGAATTTTCGACAATTTGATAACCTTCGAATACATCATTTGTCCTAACCTTATGTCGAGCATCATTGCGGGCAACGGATTTATTGCGAGACCGTGAGATTTCAGAGATTTGATCATATACAACCTCCTCTGCGTTTGTCGTGCGGTCACGTTCAATGCGACTTGGGTGCTCACTCTGATGTCGCTTCCTTCTGTCCCGCGCAGGTTGAGCCGGGCTTATCACTCTTTTATGATTGATCTGCGGTTGTTGCAAGACGATAGGGTATTCATCAGATGAGCTTTCATCGTCTGAAAAGGTTTGATAAAGCTTCATGGGCGCGTTCCGACCTCTGCGTTGTGAGTTGGAAGTTTTCAATTGCTGGTAATATTGATGCTGTGGCTCCGGTTGTGCTTGAGAGTGATGTGTTTTTTCATTTTTCAATCGAGGCTGAGATTGGTTCCTAGAACTGCAACTTGGCAAGGGATCAGGATCCCAAGTATCGTCAAGCTCCATTTTCGACATCAATGTTCTGTAAAAATTTATTGAAAGATGAAAGCGTTTGTAATGTAGATATGAAGTGATGAGTTACAGCTTTAGGTCAAAGTCGACAAAGAGAAGTGAGCTGAATGTGTTAGATCTATCAAGTCGTCAGTAGAAGTTCACAATAAACCTTGAAAGATTGGAAGTTGTTGTGTGAAAGTACGTAGCAAGATTTTTGTGTAAAGATGAACAAGAGAAGGGAGAAGTCAGAATCGCAATACCGAGCTCTGAAATGGTAAGACTTTATCGAAAGATATCATTAGATACTTCGAAACAAGGAGAGCAGATAGATTATTGCATTCTTTTGTCTTTGATAAAGTCAAAAACTTACTCGGAATCTGGTAATGCTTTGTAATTGTGGTTGAATCACGAAAAGTGAAGCGACTAAGTTATAGCATCAAGATTTTAGGAAGACTAGTTGTATACCTTGACTGGTGCGGCGACCAGCGCCCCCCAATAGGATAGACTAGTTATGAAGAGCAAAAGGTCGACCGAAGATAATGCCGTCTGAAAAAATTTATGTGGAAGTGTAAAACAAAAAGTTAGAAAGAGAAGAGAGGAAATTGAAAGAGATGCAGACCTCGAATAATAAGTCTCAGGGTTCCTCCAAATGAATTAAACGAGATTCGGCTGGGTGAATACGTATCAATGTAGATGACCCAAACCACCTTCAGACGGTCACTTACCCCGCTTCTCAACAAAGATATATTCCGAATGAAGTTCAAAAGGTCAAAATGTGAAATGAAAAGTGCCAATCTTTAGAATATCTGTTAAGCCTCGTTTCAGCGAATGGAGAATGAAGTTGTCAACGACTACCAGCTACTATTCATTTGTTCAGAACTTTGAGTGAGAGAGTGGAGCTAGAAAGGAATACTGATGAATTTGCTCATTTAGTGAATTGACAGTCTTTCGACAACAACAACTTGAATTCGTGATTGTGTGGTATGGACTTCATCTCACACTATTTATACTTCACCATGAAAAGACTTGGTAAGTAAAGTATATCGAATACTCCTTGAAACTATAGATTTTCCAGCTCAATATAATCATTCAATTTAGTAGCCAATTTTAGTACATCATAAGTATTCGTCTGGCCGATCTCTGGAATCTACAAAAGAAATATAGAGATGAATGGCTAGTTATACTCAATACTCAATGATATACCTACCTAGGCATATAAATCTGTTTCATTTCCACCCATAATTCTATTTACAAAGCGTCTTAAGAGTTCGATGCCTCAGTGAATACTCTTCCGCTTCAAGTATTTATTAATATTCTAAGGGAAAAGATGTGGAGAGGGAGGGATCCAGTTGATGACCAACACTTATCGAAACATGGAATTGTATTCTAGATATCAAGCCCTATGGTCATCCATACCTACCATGATCAACTTCCGAATCGGTTTTCTTGAAGATCAATCTCACCTCGACTCATCCTGTCTCAAGCAGGCTGATTCATGCCAATGCCCCAATTGAGATGAAATTAGATTAGGACACTACCTAGCAAGAAGATCCCTGATCTCTACCAAGAATAGCCCGTCATCACAGCACAACTACAGTGTCGTGTCTGGAACGATCCTAATGGCGAGCAAAAACACCATTGCAAACCCAGCCTGAAAATCAGAAACCCCAGAGCTTCAACTTCGAAAGTGTCGTTCCAACCATGATCACGTGACCAAATTAGAGTTCGTATGCTTCTTGGATATATCCACGAAGATCAGACGTGCAACAAAATCAACTCGATCATCGGACGAGACGAATTGAAATGATATGATTGGATTAATGCATGTGACTTAACCGAATCGAGAACCCGGCCAATCGCATAGTAATCAGTCCAAATTACGATCTCGATGCCCATCATTCTTCTATTTCGCAGTGGACAACGATTGTAAAGCTTGTATGAGGAGATGCTGGCAAGTACTGTTCGTCGAGTACCGTTTGGACATTGGAAAGTTTAGCTGAAGCTCTCTTTAGAAGTGCCGCAAAATGAGAAGCTGTGATCTTTGCTTAGACGAATGACAAGGTAAGAGAGGAGCTACTCGGATTAGCTAAACTTATCGTAAAAAATGTGTACAGAGGTGCGGAGATGAAAACTTTGAAATACCGTAAACAATGACACATTGTGAGATCAAGACTTCCGTTGAATCAGTTATCGAAAATTAAAAGCTACGTTTTGAACGCTAACGCCTACCCTCGCAACAACACGCCATCACAGTATCTTGACCGCAGTCCCGACAAAAATGGTATCTTATTCAATACAGTGCTAATTAATTACTTCTTCGACTTCGCCTTGAAAGTTTTCAAAGGGTCTGATTTCCTTCCTTTTCCTCGTCCCTTCGCCTTATGGGCCGCCCTAGCCTTTCTAATTCTATTTTCAGTCGTTTTGTGCATTCCCACAAATCCAATATCTCCACCGGTAATTCCTTTCTTGCCTTCCTTTGGAAGCAGATAATCCGGCACATGCTTCAAATGTGCTTGTACTCTAGCAGGTCGTAATTCCCCATCGTGACGAAGATGATACAAGTCGCTTGGGTTCTCTTCAAAATGACGTTTGAGCTTGTCACTCTTCATCAATTCCTGTCTAATTTCTCGGGTTTTTGCTTCCTGGACCGCAATACTCGTAACAGCTCGTAGTGCATCACCCATTCTGTATCGGAAAGCGTCCACTTGCTTCATATCAAAATTATATGGTTTGACCTCTTTGCCCTTCTTCGCTTGATGCTTGACAATCTTCGCCAAAACTTTCTCGTCGTTTTTCGCCGATTCAATGCTAGTCGGTTTGTGTTTTCGATATTGGTTAGATGGGATAACGAATGATAGTGCCATTCCTGTCTGGCCTGCTCGAGCGGTTCGGCCAATTCTATGGGTGTATGATTTGGACGATGTTGGAAGATCGAAATTAAGAACGCAAGCAACGTTCTTGAAGTCAATTCCTCGCGATACTCCGTATTCTTTATCCTTCTTTCCAGTCTTTTGCTTTTTCTTCGAGGGTTGCTTGGTTTCCTTCTTTGCATCCTTTGAGTCTTCTTTCTCTTCACCAGCATCATCCCCTTCAGCTTCTTCTGCATCCTTAGATTTGGGTTCGTCCTCATCTCCCAAAACTTCGTGCTCATCCGAAGCAATGATGATATCATAAACGTTCTTGTTGAATTCTTCGACGACATGGATACGTGAGTTGACAGGTAATTGTGAGTTGAGAATACAACTTCTTGTTCCGAATTGCTCCAAAAATAATTTCAATCGATAACATCTATCGATGTCACCAACAAATATGATACATTTCCCTTTTATAAGTTTCAATTTGAATATGACATATGTTAGAAGGAACTTCTCGTCTTCGGCGCATCTATTACTTGTTAGCATCCATCGTACAAACTAGTAGAAAAAATCTTACTTCACAACAAATTGGCTAACGCCTTCTCCCTCATCCTCTGCTTCCTCCAATTTCAGTACCTCAGGGTTCCTACAGAATAATCCTTTCAAAGTTTCAACCTCACTCGTCAATGTAGCGCTCATCAAAACAGTTTGAACACCCTTGGGCATAATTTTTGCAACATTTTGCAAATCCCCATCATAACCATAAGATAAAACCAAATCGGCTTCATCAATTACCATGTGTGTAAGATTTGCGAGGGAAAGTGCAGAGGTGTTGGCATTTAGCGAAGCTCTCGCAGGTGTCGCAATCACGATATCTGGGGAATCTGCAAGAAGTGATCGTTGAACTGCATCGGAAACTCGCTGGGTGAGGTTGACTGCTCGGATATCTTTCGCACAGAATGTTGTAAAAGATTCAACTGTTTTGTAGACTTGATCCGCAAGTTCTCGAGTAGGTACAAGAATGAGGGCGGTCGTGCATTGGGTGGGTGAAAGCTAAAACGGTCAGTCTGTGTGATTATTTCGTAAGACGATTGAAATCCATACCTCCTTTCTCTTTAATATCGAATGAAGGATTGGTAGTAAGTAAGCAGCAGTTTTTCCGGACCCAGTCTTTGCTCTAGCTAAGACATCGCGGCCTTCCAATGTGAGCGGAATCGCTTTGCTTTGTACGAGTGTTGGGGATTGAAAGTTTTGCTTTGCGATTCCTTGGAGTAGACGCGCATCCAGTCCTAAACTAGCGAAAGTGACATTCTCCTTTGTGGTATCGGATTCTTCTGTCGGTACAGGGACATCATTGGCATCGAGTTTACGCTTCATGATTGGTTTTGTGAGTATAGAAATAGAATGATAAAAAAAGTTGTTTCTTGAAGTTCAATTTGCTTGGACATGAAATTATTTTTGCAACTTATCAGAAGCGGAGACTTCGATAAGGATATTATGTAAGCAATGCCCTTCACCGAATGACATCCTTCACACGAATTTATCACGCGCTTAATAGATTAATCGCTGTGATCATATATCATCAAATACTCCAAAAGGCAAGATCATCGCGCATTTGAGATATTATATTTGTACATTCAAAGTGTGCTTAATCCTCAAATTCGTTGAAGCTATTCCTAGATCAAGATTTATGATGAGTTCATCACGTAGTTATTTGACTATAGTAAAATCAACGCTTTACATTCAAGATAGAATCTATGCTAAGCTCTCTAGTTCAGGAAGCCATAAAAAATTTCAGTCTTCGGAAATTGATTGGTAGTAGTACTGCCATCATCAATTGGCAAAAGCACCGAGTTTATGAGCTCCATCACTTCATGCGCATCAGCAATACCTCAACTTCCCAAAGTCCAAATTCTCCTAGCCATCTCCTCATCTTTTGGCAACCTAACCCATCCAGCAACAACCCATGTCCAATCCCAATTGATCCATAAAGCAACTCTTTGACACCATAGCTTTTGCGCCTTACCAATATCCGTGCCATTAATCCAGCTCACCCTTCCCATGATTGCCACCACCTTATCTACATCATTGATTTTTCCCAGCCAATGTACATCTGCTCTTTGTACCTGTCTTGCTCTTTTCTCCGCCGCGATGTTTGTTTTTCTATATGGTTTTCCTGCAATTCTACCTGCAGTACCAGGTGCACATCCGATGTAGATTGTGGTAGATGCGTCGACAGGACCACTGCCCCATCTTGGACGGTAACCAACTAAAGAGTTGAGGAGTTAGCAGTTGCACCACATGAAAGTCGTAGGATAAAGTCGCGAAGGAAAATCTTGTGCTCACGAGCGTAGGATGATGGAGTACGAGGGTTTGAAGTCGGAGAATAAAATCGAATGTAATAGAGTTGGTAAGGTGAGGATGCGGATTCGATAGACGAAGCCACGTTGAAATCTTTAAGACCAGTCTTAGTTGGCTGTGGGGCTGTGTTCTCCATTACAAAGGTCGCAGATTCTTGCAGATGCTTTGCTAGGTACAAGGGACTTCTGGTGACTTCCTCAATTTCTGGGAGAACTTCTTAGGGTGAGCTCTCTTGCAAGTCAGTGTTTCTATAATAAATATGCGGAGGATTTGTGACTTACTCAAAATTTCTATCGATCCAATTTCGAGCTTGAGTCTTTAAGTTGTAAGTGTGTAAGGGGAGCTTCAAGGAAGAAAGGAAAGCTGCCGGAGAAGCAACGTATTAGCCAGGTTCCCAGAATGGCGCCATGATAAATCAATTCCTGAAATTGAGCCACTAAAACTTCCCACCTCGAGCTGAAGTACCTGTCTAATCTTCAACAACCTCAGCCTCTTTCAGGTGGGACGATGTATGGCCAATGCCTGATTCTACAGTAAAACTGAATGTTCTCAGCGTGATTCGAATTCTCGAATTTCTACAAAAATTGCCCATGATCTCCCAGTAGAGAGTGTAAGTATCATGCAATCCATGAATGGTCTCTCACAGAGTGGTCACTTATTTCCCCATTACGAAAATATGTTGATAGTATGAGGTGGAAACGGTGAAATGCACATATGACTCTCGTCTGGAAATGATCCTCCATTTAATTCCAATAATTAAAACAGTCAAGAAAGAACAGCAAATCTGCAGACGCAAGTGTACTCACAAGTTTGATCCACGAGGTCCTAGTTCTGGTAGTTACGGGTTCATCTCCTTGAATGAATAAGAATCATCTGCTTCAATTCAAAATCTTGATCAATATTTCTTCACGAATCGGATAGATGCTCTAGAGTAATTCATCCGATGAAACGACCACGTCGTTGATCACCTTCCAGAAGAATCCTAAGATTAGGTCGGGTATTTCAATAAATAGCTGGATAAGCATGTGAATTTTTAATATTTTTCGAATACTGACAACTGAAAGTTTCAATACCATGGTCAACACAAGTTTCATCGAGAGACATAGCACGCGAAAGGAGTTGATACAGAATATGCATGGCATGCAGCCGTACATTCGACCTACATTCGACCTACATTCTAGCTGCAACGAGCATGGAACACTTCCATTTGACAGGAGGTTTCAAATGGCCATGCGCAGACACAAAAACACACTTTCTTTCCTTCCCTCATGTCATCTTGTTAATTATATGTATGTTTTTGATCACTCCAAAAGAACCTCGACGCCCTATACAATACGCAAATATACCCGTCCAGAATCAACAGAAATCTTCCTACCAAGAATCCCATTCACAATGGCACGATGGGATGCTCGGGGAACCTTCTCTATCGATCCGCAAGCCCTGTCTTCATTCGAGTGCGTGGGCATAGCTATATCCATGAATCGCAAATGCAAGAAAGTTATTGGGAAACCAAGACGCATCACAGCAGCTAAACTACTAGATGAGCTTTCAGCATTGCCTATTTCCGGACAAGGCTATAATGAAACATGGCTAAAAGCAAAAATAAAAGAGCTCCTTGGTGAAGTAACCTGTGGGATACATAACGATCGAGGAGGACACTCTCAGGTTGAAAGAGTAGGAAAAGAGTGGTGGCGCAAGGTGGAAATGGTGCAAGAAGTAATGAGAAACAACAGAGGGCAACAGCCAGCACAAATGATACAGCGGAGGAGGGAATATAGGCCTGTTGCGGACGTGGAGCCAGCTGATGCTGAATGGGCTCTTCAGCGTCTCGAATTGAACCCACTGATAATCGAGGATCAAATCCAGATTCTGGAGGAGCGTCTTGCGCGCGATGAGGCGGAGAGAGCGGAATTGATGATGCGGATAGAGGAGAGAAGGAGACTATATGAGAGAATACGAGAGGAACAAGTGCGAGCAAGAGAGAGGGAGATGCGAGAAGCAGCAATGCGGCGAAGAGAAGATGAGGAGAGACGACGAGAAGTGGAGAGAATTCAAAGGGATAGACAACGAGAAGCGAATAGGATACGTGATGAAAGAGAAGAGATGGTGAGGATGGATAGAGAATTTGCATTGAGACTGATGAGAGAAGAGGCGGAGGAAGAAGAGCTGATAAGACAAGAAGAAGAAGAAGCAGAAGCGCAGCAACAACGAGCAGCACGAAGGGCATTACAGAGGATTGAGAATATGCGACAAGCGCAAGTGCCAAACCTTTTTGCAGTACCGCAACTATTTCTGCCTCGTCCTGTTCACCGCAGAGTTCAACGTAAACCCCTTAGCGATTGTTATTCCTGCTTCGAACACATCCGCCGACATGAAGACGCCGATTGGTGTCGAGCGGAGTGCGGGCAAAATATCTGTAACGGATGTCTTCAGGAGTGGATGAGAAATCAAGTGGGGAGAGAAATTAGATGTGGCGTCTGGTGTGTTGTCCCTTTCTTTTCTTCCCCGATCTTTGTGAGATAAATTACTAATTTTTACATGTGATAGTCGAGCAGTTTGGAAATTTGAGGATGCATAAGGAGCTGGCAATGCGATATTCGGGAACTTAATTTCAAGTCGGCGTTGAGAAGGATCTTGGAATTTGATACAAGGGAGGATTTGTGTTTTTTTTTTTCAAGAAAAGAGGGATGATCTGATAGGGATATTCTATTGAAATGAATAATCTTAGCCTTCATCCCTACATCTCTGGTTTGAAGCATCTCAGTTCTTGTATCGTGGTACCTTGAACCATTAAGGAATCAGTATTCTTTTATAAGATGTTCCCTTTCTGAAGCTCTTAAGCTTACTAGGAAAACAATGAAGCATGCACCATCAACCAACCTTAGCATTATTTCTCGTAATCGACAGTCTCCCATGACTTGAATAAACAATGCTGGCTATCGAATGGATGACAGACATTTACATAATGGCCTGCTCTTGGAAGTTGAAACGGGAGGATTTGAAATTTCTTGACAGGGGTGAGTCTAGAGGGTTGACAGGAGCGCCTCCAAGGATTGGCAAATGGCCTTGTGGAAATTAAATTGATAAAAAGACACTTGATGACCTTTTAGAAGTTTTGAGAAGGGGCATATGAAGAATTTTGGTAAAATTGAGGGATGAATATCTTGAGGATTTGGATGTATGGATTCATGGATGTGTAAATGGCCTTTGAAGTCATTGTCATGTGAGTAAAAGTGTTAAAATCCAATCAGGGAGAGATAGATGGCTTGGCGTGATGCAGTACTTTCTTCTTCGAGCTGCGTAGTCTTGATATACTGTTAAAGCATAGTTCAACTTGTTGAATAAGAATATGGCAATTTTTTGACGATACTAACAATACGACAAAATGCTGGATCCATCTTTCCGAAGGTATAATCATGGTACTATCGAGCTTAGGTATTCACACCAACTCAGCCCAAAATATATCTCTCGAGTCATCAAAGACCAATATGAGAACAGACAATTTGACATATAAAAGATTCCTAGCATTTAGCCAGTAGATATCCCTTTGCCACAACCGTATTCGAGATACGGAATAGATCAAGCACGAAATGTTTCTACTTCCCACCACTCGGACACTACCCCCGGCTCCATGATCAGCTGAATTCTCCGATTTTAAAGACGATCTAGGTCTTGCCACCGGACGAACAGAAGAAATGCATGAACAAAGTTCCTTGAACGAAGCTTCAATTTGACTGATCTACTTGAGACATCTAGGAAGAACCTCGAACTGAGTACATGTGGCTGTGCGATCAGATTGTTATGCGACAGACAAGGCACGTGCAGTGGAGAACCTGGACGTTGTTTGTTTCAACCTAAGAGGGATGCAAATGTTGTACAATAGCCCATAATAGCAACCTAAAGTTCGGCTTGGAAGCGTGAAAGGGGTCAAAGAAAATCGAAAGTAAGAGAATGGCCCCCACAGTGGGGGAAGTAACCATTCGTTAAGCGCGCTTATCTTGATAACCAATCAGGATTTCCATCTATAATCATATTTTGTAGGAGTTGGTTGTAGGATTGGGGTCATATACGGCGTTTCATAATCACGATGACGATTTCAGCCGCCTATGGGACCCCTCAGAGTCAATTAGGTACCGGTCATCCGCAAAATCTCCGAAATGTTATTCTTCAACAGTCGAGAGGAGTGTTTCATCATCCACTTAAGCGCGAGAGGTAAGGTTAATAGAGTATCTACTCAACAAGGATTGATTGACATGATCGACAAACTCCGAAGTAATTCTTCGGATGAGCAAGCATCTAAGTCGAATGAACGAGAAACATTTGGACATTTTCAACAAATAGATTCACGATACGATCAAAAGGTGCAATACTGGTATGTAATTATTCTTGGCGCCCAAAGATCAGGCGTCCATGGGTCAAAGGATTCATGAATACGATCTACGGAGTCAAAAGTTCTTTTGGGTTGTTTGTTGGTGGGTATTATGGACTCTCACGAGTCGTCGTATGCGACCGTGGCGGCAACTTATCCAGTTGTAAGAAGAATTCATCACAAACCAATTCGATTGGCTAACCCCTGCCAAGATGTTTATTCCCAGCTCCCGTGTGGAGGACTATTTGTGATAAAAGGGGGACTTTCATATCTTAGCGTATATGCAAGACGATTGGGTTTTTTCATATAAAAGGAAAATCATGAAAATCCAGGGGTTCGGGCTGCAGGAACAGAAACAAAAAGATTTCGTTTGAATACCCAGCTGCATCATCACGTAATTGGCCTGTGGACTGCTGTCTACCTTTACCTACGTAGGTTTCTTGCATACGCGCAACGGCAATGCAGTACAGTACACATCGGTTCGCTGGTTCTAGTTCCAAACGAAACCTCCTCTCAAGCCCAGCGGATGATGTCCAATCAATAGGTTCACCGTGATAGAATGCAAGAAAAACAAAAACATCCATGATGAATCCATGAATCAAAATATCGACTGGTATCCCTCTCTTCCTTGTGATCTTCGTATAGATTCGAATAATACCGACAAACCTGACTCTCCCATACATTTTCTTTGCTCCTTGAGAACTGTGGATATTACTCAGGGGCCAATAATTCCAAAGATTCGTCCTTTCAGTGGCACAGCATGCACAGCATGAGGTTTCGCCATTAACCGAAGCAAGGTACAAGAGCCTATCAAATGACATTTTCCCCTGCAGATTCTCAATCATTCAACGTCTGTGCTAACCACACATACCACATCCCATCTATACTGATTCAAAATCATCCACATTCATCCTAAAATGTACAGAATAGTACCAATGCTTCAGATGTATTTCTTCTTCGACCACATAGCCACTTCAACTGGTTATGTATTATGTCAAGCTACCCTTCTCTAGCCTTGCGAGAATGGGTCTTCTAAATGTAGTGGAGTTTAGATCCTTGAGACCCTTGAAATTCCCACATGGGACGTTTGTCGACCAGGTAGAGACAGAAGATATGCGGGCGACCATGACCAATCAAGCCATGGTTTTCGACCTTCCTTGCTGCAGTTTTTGCAATTCACTATTCTCTTGGGTCGAAAAGGAAGTCCTTCTCACCCATGTCCCGCTTTGGAGATATCTTGATCGACTTTCAGACTGGGAGATATAAGATGGTCAGGCCCGTCCCACCTCGAATCATCTCGGCATCCTTCTCTCAATTCCAACTCTCCTTCGAGCACTTGCTTCTTCCTTCAAAGGGTATTTACCTTTTTGTTTGTAAAATTCGTCTTCCATCTTTTCGAGTATTTCTATTTCTCAATTGTCTGTGACAAGAGAAATTTTCCAATACTATTACATTCCTTGAGTCACTTTCAGCGAAAGAACGAATTCCATTCCTTTTACCGACACATTCAGAAGAATATCGAATTCTTTGACCTTGAAACAATAAGCTCTTTGAAGGTACGTGAAACAATGTTTGAATCTTTTCTTGTCCTTATAGTTGTCTTTTCATGGAATCCTCTTGCAATTTCGAAAAGTCCTTTGTCATTTTATTTTCCCGTCTTTCGTTTCGTTGTCGTCGCATGAGACAATAGGATTCGGTTACACACCATTTTTAATTATTATTCTGAGAGAGTGAATAATCTGAATAATCTCTTCGGTTACTCTTCCTTTCGATTCATAACAATAAACAATTGTTTATCTATTGTTGCGATTCTATTTTCTATTGCAAATTTCGAGAACAGTCAGCCTCCTCGAATAATATAAACTTGGCATTCCGACTGACCTCGATCTTTTTTTTCCTCATTCCAGATTATAACCACGTCCATTCTCTACAAGTACAACACGATCTTTCGATTTTAACAACGATCTTTCAACTGCACAAATAGAGGAAATCTATACAACAACAAACTACAAAGATTTTTCCGTCAGGCACGATCAAAATCTTCAACCACTCATTCAATATGTTCGCCAAAGCATCCATCGCAGCATTGGCTCTCGTAACTGTCAGCAATGCTCACATGATCATGACCAGCCCAGTTCCATATGGAGCCGACACTCTCACTAACTCTCCTTTGGAAGCAAGCGGAGCCGACTTTCCATGCAAGCAAAGAGATGGAGTCTACGCAGTCACCACTCAAAACACCATGGAGCTCGGCGGATCTTATGATCTCGCATTCAAGGGCAGTGCCGTTCACGGAGGTGGATCTTGTCAAGTATCTATCACCTACGATGAAACGCCCTCTGCCTCTAGCACATTCAAAGTCATTCACTCTATCATCGGCGGCTGCCCCATGAAAAACGTTGTCGGAAACAACGGAGAGAACAAAGATGCCGTCGATCCAGATACCTACAATTTCACTATTCCCTCAACTCTTCCAGCTGGTAAAGCAACCCTCGCATGGACATGGTTCAACAAGGTCGGAAACCGTGAAATGTACATGAATTGTGCACCCGTTACCCTCACCGGCGGCTCCAGTAAGCGCAGCGACCTCATCGCACGCGACCAAGCTTCTTTCAGTGCTCTCCCAGACATGTTCACTGCCAACATCGGCAATGGTTGTGGAACAGCTGATTCCAAGGATGTGGTTTTCCCCAACCCAGGTGATTCTGTTGAGTATGATGGAGGCTCCACTGCATCTGCTACCGCTGCACCAACTGGGTCTTGCGCTACCGCTGCCGCTGGTGTTGCTTCTGCAAAGCCCACTGGATACGGAAGTGGAACTGGAGCCACTTCCGCTGTAGCTCCATACGGTACAGCTCCTGCTGCAACCGCAAGTTCGCTTCCAGGAGGTGTTTTTGTCTCAATCGCTACGGGTACTGGCGCCGCTACTTCCTCCGCGACCTTAGCAGCAACTTCAGCAGTAGGAGTCGTCCCCGCAGTCGCCACTACTGCCGTCAGTGTCCCAACAACCCCAACTTCTGCTACCTCCGCCATAGCACCAGCTGGAACCGGCGCTTCATCAACTTCCTCTTCAGGAGCTCTCACCGGTGCCTGCACAAGCGAAGGAATGTTTAACTGCATTTCTGGAACCTCTTACCAACAATGTGGTAGTGGTACCTGGAGCGTCGTCATGCAGATGGCTTCCGGAACCACCTGCACCAGTGGCCAAACGATGAGTTTGGTCGTTGCCAAGAGAAACGGAATGGGATTGATGCGCCACGCTGCTCGACGTGGACTGGGTGCTGAGATGTTTAACTAAATCAGCAAGCTGATTTTCCTTATTCACTCTCAGATCCTGGTTGACTAGATGATGACAACAGGAGATTTGAGCTCGCAGGACGGTCTCGAATCTAGGATTCGATCGGGATAAATGAAATTTCTTTCGCGGATTCCGAGCAAGGCATGCTGCATTTACACACAGCACAGCGCGCGTTGCATTTCCCATCTTGTTTGTTTACAGGACGGGTTGAAAACTTTTACAATTTGTACATATTATTCTACTACTTTCTTTCTTTCTATTTTCTTGTGATACTACACCTTCGTTGCCTTTAAAGGCTCTTGTGATGATGACTTATGACTGGAGAACGGGGTTGGTGCATGGATGGATGGACGGCAGGGGATTATCATCAGGTGTGCAAATGAGACAGGCTGGAAGGGCGGGTACGCATAGATAGAGATTTTATTCACTGCAATGGATTTATATCAAACATTTAATTGGCTTTTGCTGTGATTATGAATACAGAGTTAAAGATGATTGTGAATGTGATTGTGAATATTATAAATGTGAATCAAATTCAATCAATGAATAAGTGGTCTCTTTAAAATTACCCTACCTAGCAATTGAGTATTCAAGTCAAACCATGAAGCCTGCCACTTATTCAACGCGGGTTGAAAATTCATGCCACTCTGATACATTGAAATCATTCGACAAATTTGCATGATCTGCCTTCAGCGTATCAGCTTGGGACATTTACAAACCTCAATCTATGATCTATGATCAAAGGGTATTTTCCAAATTTAGGTGTGAGATTCCCTCCAATTCTCAGGACGACAGGACCAAATAATCCACACGGCGATTTTTATTGCATCTCTCTATGGCTTACCTTCTCACAACCGTCCCATTTAATACCCTTCACTTGAACGATCAGTAGGGAAACCATTTGGCACACACGTACTTGGGTAGATATATATAACCACGACCCGGAACATTGCCTAATTAGTTCAACACGTCCACTCGGAAATACTGTAGCCCGGAACCTCACATTTTGTGGTTGTTTTGGCCCTTTTACTTGGTAGTAGTTTGGGTGTAACTTGGGAGAATGTATTTTAGGCTTGGGGGGTTAAAGCTCGTGGAAGGTTGAATGCGATATGCTTCTGCACATATAGCCAAAGCATATACATATCCGAAGTTGAGCCTCTAGTATACCATACCTCTCCCAAGCTTAACCTCATCCCTTATCACTTTTTTCCCTTCTTTCCCTCCTTTCCCTCCTTTCCATCTCCCTTCTCAATCACAAACCCCCCTTTCACAAACGCATCCCTTGCCACTGCATTGATAGCAGCAAACCTCCTCGCTCCTAACTTCTGTCCTCCGTACCACCTTGTAACAACCACCATCACATTCCATAGGTCCATCAGCTGCATTAGATGCAGAACTCTTCCCCCTGCCGCGGATTCTCCATCGTCATCGCAATCTTGGTATGTTATGCCTTCCCGTGTTTTGATGCGCCACGCTGTGATGTTATGGGTTGCAGAACGGACCTTCTTGTCCGAAGCAAGGAGATGCTGTATGTATTGAGCTGCGACAGCGGGAGAAGAAACGGAGATGCAGCGTGCGATGAATGTAGATTTCAGTTCGGTGGTGACTGAAGAAAGTGTCCAATTGGGAGGTTCGATATCTATATTCATATTCTCATTCGAGGTATCTCGTTCTCGTTCAACGACCGCACCTTCCTCATAATCTGCGAACTCTTCTCCTTCCTCATCTCCTCCATCGCCCTCCTCATTACCAGCGCCAAACCTCTCGTCGACCTCCTCAATAACATCAAATAGACAAACCTCTCCCACCTTCCAAGTTCTCCCCACAACATCTCTCACGAAATCCGCCAGCCTCCCTGCATCACCTTTCTTCGCATTCTCTCCAGAACTCTGCGCTCCTAATATTATAGGCGGAACATCTGGGTATGCTGCTGGAAATTGTATTCGAAGTGAGGTGGCTTGATTTGGGAGAGCGAGAATATAAATATCATCTGGAATTTCATGCGCGGAAGTAAGAGTCGAGGAATCGTAGATGGAGTTTATGGCTTCAATCTCGTTAAGTAGGTCTTCGCTCATTGTGGGTGTTGGGTGCTGAGACTGGTATTGAGGGTTCGCCCTTGATGAACGAATGATTAACCGGTATTCTACCGATATCTAGTCTTCAGGATAAATGCTTCCCATGCCTCTCTCAACATCCCCTCCACTTTGCTTTTCTTCCATCTGCACCGTCTTCCATAGCTTTGGACACAACATTCAATACTTTATCGGCTTCACAGCCGGAGAGGAACGATAATGCATGGTTGAGTAAATACAGAACGTGGATTTTGATCACAACAGCAGCGCACATGAACTGCTGCAGTACAACATGCTACAACAACGGGTTCAATTGAATCATGAGATGCGAGCAAACAAAAAGCTGCATAGTTTCTACACACAGAAAATGAGTTCTAGTTCCTTGATCCAGTCGTTGTTCGATCTGGCTGGTATTATCGGCACGCATCCTTGAAAAGGTTTCAGAGACAAGTCAGGAAATGAAACAAACATCGAAGAACTCTATCAGATGGACAAGAGATCTACTTTAACCCGAAGGTCTAATCTATCGGTGTTGGCTCTTATCAGGAATGATAATGCGAAATACCCGGTAGATGATTGCGGGGGACCTGCATAAAGAGGGCGGGGACATTTCTATCACGTCGAAGATATATTGAACGATGCATTTCATTCGCTGTTGCGCCTAGCACTGTAACCACACAATCCGGATCCCCCTGCATGTCACATACACTACTTCTGTCTGCTAAATTAAAGCATGTATTTCATTTCCATTCGTGCAGTCATTGTAACTCACCTGCCAACCAGGAGAGCTCCTGTAACGTATGATTAAGGTTTATGAGCTTCCTTAATGGGAATTGATATGCGACTTCTATGGGCAAGGACAACTGCACGTGCAGTATTGATTCTGTACCCCTATTATAGAGCACACTATAAGGTGGTCAAGTAGATCTTATATAATCCGGGCTCTGTCTATTCTGGTTTCCTTACGGTAACAGTCTCTGTGTTGCTTGCTTTCATTTACTGCCAGTCATGGCTTTCTTTAACAGTCTGTACTTGGCTCTGCTCTCCACGGTTTTTTGTCTGGTCGCGGGTCAGAATGGTACCACTAACTCATCGACATACGATGTACTCGATTATGTTGATCAATTGATTGGAAGTAGTAATGGAGGTTCGATTCTTGAATACCAACTTTCCTTATTCCTGCTGACAGCATCTTGAAAGGAAATGTGTTTCCTGGTGCAACAGTTCCTTTTGGTAAGTAACTGATGAAACTGGCTGTGGGATCCGAGAAGCTCCGATTGGAATGGCGATGGGAGTATCACTTGGAAAAATGCCCATCGCTTCAATGTAGATCAATCTTGTATTAACGATTTCATAGGAATGGCGAAAGCTGTAGCAGATACGAATTCTGGTAGCAACCAGGGTGGTTTCACGACTGATGGTAGCAATATCACTGGGTTTTCTAGTATGCATGATTCTGGAACCGGGGGTTCTCCATCTCTGGGGAACTTTGCACTATTTCCTTATGCCGAATGCAAGGGAGATACTGTAGACGGATGTACTTATCCAAAGAAATCAAGAGCCACCCCTTTCGTTGCAGATTCAGTCAAGGCATCTCCTGGATATTTTGGACTTACATTATCCAGTGGTGTTGCTGTAGATATGACGACAACACAACATACGTCATTGTTCAGATTCAAATTCCCAACCACTTCGAATGGAAATGCTTCCAGCCCATTGATCTTGATGGATTTGACGGACTTATCTGACTCTCGTCAAGATAATGCCAGCGTCTCTGTTGATGCTACTACTGGAAGAATGACGGGGAATGGCAAATTCTTGCCTAGTTTTGGCAGTGGAAATTACGTTCTGTACTTTTGTGCAGACTTTTCAGGTGCTTCCATTCGAGACAATGGTATATTTGTCAACAGCCGTGCTAGTGCTGATGTCAAGGATCTCAAAATTTCACGTTCAATAAATGGCTATCCTCTTCCAGGAGGAGCATTTGTTCGTTTCCAGTCACCCGGCGATGGAATTTTGGCACGTGTTGGTGTCAGCTATATTAGCAGCGATCAAGCATGTGCAAATGCTGAAGCAGAAATTCCAGATTTCGACTTTGCTGCTGTACAAAATGCGGCAGAGACTACCTGGCGCAACAAGATCTCCCCCATTAAAGTTTCGACGGCAGGAATCGAATCTTCGATTCTGACAAACTTTTACAGTGGAATTTATAGGACGATGGTCAATCCACAAGATTATACCGGTGAAAATCCGTTGTGGCAGAGTGATGAACCCTACTTTGATTCCTTCTACTGGTAGGTTTTGATCATTAACCTTGAAAATGTTGCTCACGCATTTTAGCATTTGGGACTTGTTCCGTTCTCAGACACCATTCTTGACAGTGTTGGATCCTTCCACTGTGGCTAGAATGGTTCGTTCGCTCATCGATACATGTTGGTATCCCCTCACATCTATATAGCACGTGATTCACTAATATCAATTTTAGATGTTCACGAAGGATGGCTTCCTGATTGCCGTATGAGTCTATGTAAAGGATTCACACAAGGTGGTTCAAATGCAGACAATATCCTCGCCGATGTTTACATTAAAGGCATTACTGAAGGTATAGATTGGGATCTTGGCTACGAGGCTGTCGTCAAGGATGCGGAAGTCGAACCTTACGATTGGTCAAGTGAGGGACGGGGCGGTCTAGATTCATGGAAAGCCCTTGGATATATACCCGTTCAAGATTGTATGTCTCGGTTTTACAGACCTTCCACTGTCTTCTTGTCACTGAGTTCCAACTAACAATACATAGTTGACTACAAGGGCTTCGGTACCATGACACGAAGTGTCTCCAGAACGCTAGAATATAGCTACAATGATTTTGTGATTGCAAGCATGGCTTCTGGTCTAGGAGGCCACGAATCAGATGTCCAGAAGTATCTTGAACGCAGCGAAAATTGGCAAAATCTATACAACGATGCGCAAACATCATATCTCGCGAATGGTACTAATACAGACTTCAAAGGGTTCTTCCAACCAAAGTATCTCAATCAAACATGGGGACTGCAAGACCCTTTAAAGTGCAGCAATATAGACAAAAATCCCAATAGTGTTTGCTCATTGCAAAACTCGGGTGCCGAAACTTTTGAAAGTAGCATTTGGGAATATTCATTGTATGTACAGTTGTTTGTTTTCAATTTCTTGCCAAATTTGAAGCAACCAGAAGCTAACTTGCATCCTTAGTTTCGTACCCCACGACCAAGCAAGCCTCGTCACCACTTTTGGAGGGCCCGCAGCGTTTGTAAAACGTCTAGACTATCTCCATGACAATAACATAACATACATTGGAAACGAGCCCGCTTTCCTCACCGTCTACCAATACCATTACGCCGGGCGTCCGGCCCTCTCGGCTCGTCGCTCCCACTTCTACATCCCATCGTTCTTTGCCCCCACAAACGATGGACTGCCAGGTAATGATGATTCTGGTGCTATGGGCTCCTTTGTCGCTTTCAGTATGATGGGACTCTTCCCCAATCCAGGCCAGGATGTCTATCTTATCATCCCTCCATACTTTGAATCTGCGTCCATTACTTCTCCTCTCACAAACAAAACCGCGACCATCAGAAACATCAATTTTGACCCCTCATATAAAAATATATACATCCAATCAGCAACATTGAATGGAAAACCTTATACAAAGAATTGGATCGATCATAGCTTTTTTACGGAAGGAAAAGAGTTAGTTCTGGTATTGGGAAGCAGTGAGAGTAGTTGGGGAACACAAATCAGTGATTTGCCCCCAAGTCTAGGTGAGTACGTGGGTTATAATGGGACAGGAAATAACACGGCAAGTGGACAGCCGGTTGCTGGATTGGCAAGGAGAGCGGTAATTTTTGATGAGAGGGTCGTGCCGGCTAGTGGGAATGAGTTGGGAGCTAAGACTGGGGGCAGTTATTGGGCGGAAGCGGCAGGTTAGAGATATGAATGGAGCCATTTGCATGAGCACATGAATTGAAATATTGGGTGTTGGTATGTCTGTAGATGAGCAGAAACTTTACTTCTACGAATGTATTACTAGAATTTTGGGGAGAGCCTCTCTCATGCTATCATTGTGTTTGTTTCCAAAATGTATCGATTTATCGGGAGCCAAGCATCTCATAATGCGAGACGTGAACTCTAAAATTCGTAAGTCGGTAGTATTGAGTGAGACATGCAACAAAACGCCTTTCAAAAGAGTCTGAAAGAAAAAGCTGAAGAAAATGCTATTTTCAGATAGGCAACAAAAAGCACTGTAAGCCTGGGACATCTCGATATTCAGATCTAAGATTTGGATAATACCTCGCAAAGATATTCTTGAGAAACGGATCTTCAGAGCAAGCGTGCAACAAATAAACGCATAGCATCGAAATATATCAGAATGCTCAGCATTTCATGGCAGGAGATATAGCACGTGAGATATAGACATTCTTCAACAGTTTATTTTTTCGTTAAAATAATATCGAAGCAAAAAGTAAGTTTTGATATATACATCATGCCCTGTCTATTATCTACAAGCTTTTTCCTATCGTCCCCTTCTCATCATCTCTTGAATCTCATCAAGTATTCCGCTCGATATTTTGATCAATGCGTCAATCCTCTCTTAGCACTCTCTTCCACCATCGTCCAATAGCGTTCTTTACTCCCTGCTCTCCATCCCTTACCCCATTTCACAAATACCAAAAACACGAGAACTTGTGCTAACGAGATAAAGGCAGCGGCTACAAATGTATTTTGATAACCGGTATTGAGAATCCAGGGTGTGATGCCGTAGTTGATGGCAAATGACATCGTGTTGCGGATTATTATTACAGTTACTATTGAGGGAGTCAAATTAGTCCAATGTTTAGGCAAAAATGTGGGATGGAGAACAAAAGTTTGGACGAAATAAAGACGTACCCATGGCCTGTCCTCCAAGCTGTTGATAAGTATCAATAGCATAATTACAGCTAACCGGAATAGCAATAGTGATACTAGCTGATAAAATGAACATGGCGAAAATCAATCCAAACCAATGAACACTATGTGCAGCACCCACCCCCCAAAGAATCAAGCCCACAGGACAGAAGATAGCAGTGAGAACGAAGAGCCAGAGACGGTGTTCGGGCTCACTACGTCCTTGGTTGCGGCGTGCGAGTCGGATGAGTAGTTTATCACCGACTGGACCAGCCCAAAGAGCGCTATTGGATCTGTTAGTTTTACTAACATGAGGAAAGTAAAAAGATGGGCTTACGATACAACAGCACCTAAAGCAGGACCCAAGTAAGATAGTCCAACCATGGAGGCAGAGAAATTATAGGGCGGCGCACTCAGAACCAACGACGCAGTAGCATTCAGCACATTAAACCACACCAAACTAGATCCGTATGCAAATCCTGCATAAACAACAATTGGATATGTGAAAAATATGAACGGTTGCCAGAAAATGTATTTGAAATGTGAGAATGAACGAGGTCTATCGATCAGACTCAATTTTTGCATGAACGTTCTTGGGGGAATTGCGGCCTCTGGGGAGGTGTCCATACTAGATGATGTTGCAGCTGTGGGCTCGGTTTTCTCCATCAATTGATCCTGTATGAGGATTTGCAGGAGTGTTTTCTGTCTCGCCATCGAGAACAGCATTGAGACTTGTAGCTGGTCGGTCATAGTTTGTTTCTTCTAAAAAGAAGAAGAGAATGATGAAGACAAAACCACAGAAAATTGCGCACCAGTACTTTTTGAAGTTAGTTTGTGTTTATGCACTAGAATAGAATTCTTACCATAACCCATTCCCAACTTTGACCATCAGCAATGAAACCGGCAAAGACTGGAGCCATGTAGTTACTACCGGCTAAGGTGAGATCGTACAACATCATATATGTTCCTCGATCATGTGTGAAACGAATGTCTGAAATCGAAACCTCGCATAGTGATTCAATTGGAGCACCGAGAAATCCTTGGAGAATCTTTTGACCAATCCAATCTCCGTTGGTCTTGGTGTATGGAACCCACATGACGACACCAAGAGTAGCTTTGAGGCTCAATCAGTAAATGATCTGTGTACGACATCCAAATATCTTACCTAGCAAGGAAAATAAATAAACTGGACGTTTGCCATATTGAAGTGCGATTGGTTGCCAGAAGGCACAACCCCAACCAAAGAACAAAAACATATATCCAGTTCCAGTGTTGAGAGTATCTAAGGTAAGGCCTGTGTTCATCGAAACGGGTACTAATATCGAATAGATAGCTGAGCATGGGAATCCGACAGCTAAGATATATCTACGTGCGTCTGTCAGTAAAGCTCAAGATTGAATCATAGCATAACTCACAAACAGATACAGAATGTTGATAGAGCTTTACGCTTAGGAGACCAATTCAGCGGATCATCAGGATGACTCGACGGCGGGGGAACCAAGACGACTTCTTTAGCAGATCCCGAAGCATGTTTCGTGAGAAGTGTCCCATCAAGATCAATCAGATGGACAGTTCCAGGAATAGGACTGTCATGAGAAATATTGACATTATTTCCAACAGAAGCCATATCCGCCATATTCACGTCTTCTCGATCGCGAAGGAAGATATCAAACAAATGCGGAGAAAACTGAGTTCAAAAGCTAAAATGCAATGTAACATCAGAGAAATGAGGATTCGCGGCAATTATCTGCGAACCCAGAAGCGCGATACGTAGCTGCCAAATCGGACACGACTCTATGTGCAGAGTATCCCCTGTTCACATTGCGTCTAGAATTCCTGAGGGTATTCGGCTTATCCTATTACATAAAGGTATTTCCGCGCGAATCCTTTCGCTACATACCATACTGAGTTTCATTTGACCGCAGTAATGCCATTCCCATTTTGTTTGTCCCGAAGTAGCGGTCTCGAATCAGAGATTTTCAACTTCCAACATCTTTCGCTGTAGGAAACTCGTATCCAATGCTATCGAGAAAGTAGCCCTCGTTGCCTATGTTTGAAGGCGAATCAAACAAATTTCATATTTGCGGGCTGCTGCAAAAGTCCTTCTAGTGATTGGAAGCATTTTTCCAGGTAGTATGCAAGACACCAAATGAAGATATCTTACCCTTGCTCACGTATCGTTGCAATTGGGCGTATCGGCAGCGGATGATAGCCGTTTGGAATCCTGGTTCGCAGTTTGTATTTCTGGTAGGTCCGAAGGACATGCATATGCGACGAGGTTCAGAAAATTTACCGTGCGTCAAGGGAATAAATTACCAACCCACTTCAGATCCACGAATGAATAGTGGAATCATTCTAATAACTAGTGTTCCCCATGTCTCGCGTAGAAACTAGTCAATTAGCCGTGCACCAATAAGCTAGTTTTGAGTTATATTCATACATTCGGTTGCAGTATTCAACAGTGATGCATAAATAATTTCTTACCCTTCGAAACCACTTTCAAAATTGATATATACTAAACTTCAACTGTGTCGATCTATCATAGCCCCGAGTACCGGGCTCTAGATACCCGTATTCAAAGTTTTGAACGCAATAGTAACGCCACAGACACACTTCTTTTGGTATCCCGAGACCAATAGGAATTTAATCTTGAAGAATGTGGAGTGTCGTCGCTTGGGAAAATGACAGCCCAATATGCGTAAGCTATTTGAACTCAAACTTATAATTCGAGGAGCCAAAACCGTGGATTTGGAGTTCGTACTGGAACATAGCTTGATAGGCGAAAAAACTTGGCAGATAAATGCAATGAAATTTTACGATTACTTGAACACTCTACCACAGATGAATTGAATCGGCAAATATAGACCACTCGTGGCGTTTATTTATTTCAGAAAGACCATCAAGTCATCATCGATATACTTTACAAATGGAGTACTCAATCCTGAAAACAGTCTACAAACGGAACTCCAATCTTCTCTTTGATGAATCTCATCACGTCCACTACCTTTTCATCTTCTAACTTCTTAGCTACGAGTTGGAGACCAACAGGTGCACCGATCTGCTCTTCAACATTGTAATGATCATGATACCATTTATCCAAATCATTTCTTGTCTTATAGTTTCCATCCTTAACATCAATCACGGGATTGACCTTTGTGACAGGAAATACAATAGCTGGATAATCGAGTAGATTCCATATAGATGTGTAGCCCCAGTATTTTGAAGCGTCGTGAGGAGGAGCTGGCAGTGGACCGGCTGGACAAAGAATAAGATCCATTTTTGGTGCCATGGTATTCCATTCTGCGATCGTGGTTAGCAATAAGAATCGAATTTTCACACTGCGAGGCTCTGTAACTTGCCTTGTAAATACAAGTATTGAAATATATTCCGTTGCATGCTCCAGTCCCATACTTGTTGATGAGTTAGGTTCTGAACTCCCGAGGAGTCTTTCAAAGTGTAATTGGTCAGAGGGAGACCGGGCTCCTCAGAAAGAGCCAATGCATCTGTGAAGAACTCTCCTCCATCACACGCATAGAGTTTCGTCTAAATACGACATCGTTAGTTTGGAAATGGTCTTCGGGATAATTTTCAAAGTTTATCACAGGCTTTGTGATCGGAGACTCAAGCTTACCAGAATCTTCATAGCATTATCGTGCTGGTAAGGTTTCCATTCGATGATCTCAACTCCAGGAACCTGTTTCAATTTTTCGACCACTTCGTTCAATGCTATAGTCACCGGTGGTGAAGGTTTTACGATGCCATCATCCCACATAACCCCAATGGTAAGTCTATCTGTAGATGTTTGTCCCGTTATCCATGGCTTTTGGTGTAAACTAGGATCACTGACGCAAGGTTTCGAGTGTAAGGCAACTTTCATGAAAAGATCGATGCCTTCAAGCGATCGGCTCAAGGGACCAATGGCACCGGCGATGGTATCGCATCCCATACTGGGAGCTGCAAGTCCTACAAGTGGGAGACGAAAGGTCGTTGGACGTAAGCCGTAAAGTCCGCATTGAACTGAAGGAGATCTGATACTGCCACCTATTGAAGATTAGCAGAAGTACAAAGAAACGGATAGTGTATCTAGAATTTACCAATGTCCGATCCAATTCCAAGCAGACTCCCAACGAGAGCTTGAAGGGCAGATTCACCACCTGAAGATCCACCTGGTGTCAGTGCTGTATTGTGAGGATTAGTAGTTCGACCACCTATATTGTTGACAGTTTCTAACATCATCTTCATGAGAAGTTCTGTCAGTTTCGTACTAGATTGCCACAAATCAAAGTTTTATGATCTCTTGAACACTTACCAAACCTTGCGGCTCATTAGTTCTCACATATAGTACTGCACCCGCAGCCAAGAGAATCTTCAGAATATTCGCGTCGTCATGATTCTTGCGGCCAACCCAACCGACCAATCCACAAGTATTATCCAAATCTTTCATACCAATATGTTCCTTCACACTTATTGGAAGACCATGAAGTGGTCCTATTGGACCTTTTTTTGCAAAGTGCTCATCAAGTTCTTTTGCCCGTGCAACTGCTCGATCAGGAAGAAGTTATTAGACGCAGTTTACCTGGAAAATCAATGCTTTCATCTTAGTCTTTTGTGATCATAAAACCAAATTTTAGAAACAAAAAGGAGTACGAACCAATTTCTGAGCAATTGCAGCACGTCGAAGAAAAGCTTTCGTGACAGCTAATGAACTAAGCTTTCCAGTAGCAAGAGAAGCCAGTGATTTCTCGATTGGTGTTTCAGTGATTGTAATCTCTTCCGGGCTCAAGTACTTTCTGGGAAGTGAAATTACTCGACGAGGTAATTTTTCGGTAATCTCGACAATGGCAGGCTCAACTTTGGCGATTGTAGCATCTTGATGCTTTTGGACCTCGCTTGCTACATCCTGCCACTTTGTAACACCTGCTGAAGCTTTTGATGCCATTTTGAAACTCTAATCTGAGATGTATCGATTGTTTCAATTGGCAAGGCAAAGCTACATTTTCTAGAAAGTGATGGTGGATACTTTACACTAGTGAGTGCATTGTCACCATCGCATACTGTCTGTATAGGAAATGCCTCAAGTATTCGGCCCATAATTCTGGGCATGATTCGAAGTCTATTTTGACCCTCAGAACTCCAGCCTTTCGTGTCTCCTGATGCATGCTCCCCTGCACATAAAATCTTAGACTTTCGATCGAATCATCTCGGAGCAGGATGAAAGCAAATATTAAACCATGCTGTTCGACAACAAAAGTTAAATGAATAAAGTTTGTAAAGTACCGGGATTGGTGGCCTAGAATATTAAGCAAATATCAGGGTCTGATTCTCCCTCTCAGTAAGATATTAAGTCAAAGATAAGCATGCTATGAGCGTGGGGCATGAAATCCAAGGTAGCGTCCCCGAAAGCCGAGACGGGCGCTAGTAACCATACACTACCCGCATTCAATTATTGCAGGTGATGTGTTTCTGGTTCGACTACAAACCCATACTCAGGATTGGTTCAGGTTTCTTCTTCATTATTCTTATTGTTTCCTGACATAGCTTCTATGCCAACGTCATAAAGTCCCTATGAAGGGGATATTCATTATCTTTGTCTGCGCTCGAAGAGTGTTCCTCAATCATCCGAACAAGTAAAACCAATAAAGCATTTGTCTAGATAAGGATGCAGGTATTACCAGGCGATTCGGGTACAGCCCCCACGCACATGGCCTTCCGCAAGAGAATTGAGTTGTTCATTCAGTAATCAGTCCCAAAGATGTGGGTCGACGCCGACCCCATGATGAGAACCAGGATTGCGGCGACTGGGAATCAACTTCCGGCCGGGATAAACTACCAAAGTGGAAGCTCGGAACGGGTAGACAATTCCTAGAAGGATTGGCTTCCTAGCCTTAAGGACAATACCCGGGAAATTCATATGAATGACGAGGAATTATGAAGCTGTAATAATAAGCTGATGACCCAATGAAGTGTTTGGGGTGTCTTTTAAAAGCATCACGAAAAATTTCCATATAAAAATTCGGTTTAGGATGTTTCAAAAAATCTGGAAAGTTTCTCAAGCGTCCGTGCAATTAAAGTTATTGCAGTGTTGCCATAAGTTGAAGACAAAAGGCATGAATGCTTGTCGTGACCCAGGCAAAAGATCCTCATGAAAATCTCATCAAACTGTATTTCTTGTATCTACTGTCCCGGTTTATCGAATCCTCTCCCGTTTACCATGCTACCTGGAGTACAACCAGCCCTCTCTTGTGTACTCACTACACGCTCGTTGTTCTGTAAATCTTCTCCATAAGTATGCTTGGAACAGACTTCTCTTGAGATTCTCCACATGTATATTTTTCTTCTGATCCACTTCATTCTATACCGCTACTGCCGGTGGTAGCGTCTTTACCAAAGTGCAGAACATCATGTCGAACTCGACGAATCTCTCGCCGGCTTACTTGGCGGAGGATAAGTCTTCTCAGCTTGTTGTTACGAATAGTATCGTTTTCGGACTTGCGGCCATCACTGTGCTTCTGAGATTCGTTGCCAGGAAGTTGAAGAGCACTTCGTGGGGAGTAGACGACTATTTGATTGCGCTGGCTCTTGTATGTTGCTTCCTAAAAAGCGCCCGCCCCCCCTTTAAGTGTCGAATCTTTTCTCGTGCTATTGATGGAGTCGAATATTCTCCAACAATTTCTCTTGCAAAAGAAGAAGAAAGTCAGAACCAAGCGCTGATTCCTGTTGTTAGATCTGGGTAGCCGGGATATACGCCACCAGCATACTTTGTAAGTTCTTCTCCTGAAGTTTTGGCGAAGTCGATAAATCATCGAACAAAATACTGACCTCTGTCTGGTATAAGCTGTCAAAGATGGTATAGGCCATCATATTGAAGTGGTGGCGGAGCACAAAATAGAAGAGATATTCAAATTAATCTACATCATGCAACTCTTTTATATTCTCTCGCCCGCCACTATAAAACTGTCCGTTCTCTTCCTCTACAAGCGCATTTATGTTGGCGAGCGATTTATTCGCATTGTGTACGCTCATATAATCTTGATATCACTTTGGGTCACTATAATGTTCTTCATGGCTATATTCAATTGTACGCCGATCAGTGCATTCTGGACGAATGAGGGGAAATGCTTCAACTTTAAGGGTTTTGCAGTCGGGTATGCAATTGTGAACATCCTGACAGATGTATCGATTTGGATATTGCCTCTACCAAAAATCTGGGAGCTGCATTTACCTATTGGCCAAAAAATGGCACTCATGTTGATATTCACACTGGGACTTTTGTGAGTACTCTTGCCAAAAATCAACGACCCTTAAACTGATATAAAATAGTGAGATAGCATCTGCCTTGACGCGTCTCGTGTCTGCGATGCTTCTTATTGGCTCTCCAGACCCAACTTGGGATTATATGACGGGAAATATTTGGTCCGTCATTGAGCCCGCGGTTGGGATCATGTGCGCCTGCCTTCCTACCACTCGTGTTGTTTTACTTGCTGTCATTCCCAAATCCTGGCATTCAGTATTTTCTCTACATTCAAGTCCATCTAAAAATGCTACGAGCGGCCGTGGAACGGGAGACTGGCCACGCACAGCAACATACAACGAAATTCAAATCAAGAGTCAAACAGGAATATCGAAGAAGGATCATAGTGACGCAGGAAGTGAAGATGCTCTAGAGTTGAGAGATGTAAAAGAATTCGGACAACAGGAATTTGGAGATAGAATTATGGTGAAGCAAGAATATGTGGTCAAGGAAGAGAGCGTGAGAGCAACTGAGAGCGTATAGCATTTCAGTGCTCTACTCTGAGGAAAAGCAGGGACTTTATTTTTACCGTTACTAGGATGAATATGGATACCTGGTTTTTCCTGAAAGATTGGGAATCCTTGGAATGAAGTGTCACTTTTGAACCTCCAATACACTCATGTGTTGTTGACACTGAAGGACTGCTTTCCGCTGTGTGTGGAGGAAATAGTGCACTCCACTCCTTTTACGCTAGCTTCCAATACACTGTATTGATAAAATCGGAGGTACTTGAGCTACTGCAAAATTTCAGTGAAGCACAGCACGTTTCTTGAAAATGCAAGCGGGGCTCCAGTAGTCTGTTCAGTAATCCAATATTTAATACAATCTGAGAATAGCAGTTGTATTGGAGCTTGCTAAGGTGTATATGTATGATCCTGAGTTACATAATCGCCATCTGGAAGCGGTACAGGCTGACAGTCAAGAATGAGCAAGGGTGTCGTAGAATAGTTGATTTTGAAATGTTTCATTAGTGAATTGGTCAAAATTCTCCTCCCCAAGTTGAATTATCCTTCATCACGCGCAGATACATTTCCTTGATATCTATTAATGCTCCCACATCGCTCACTCACTCCGTTTTTAATATTCCGCATGGCACAGGCACACCCACGATCTTAAAAAAAACCTGAAACCGAAGTAAAATTACATGTCCCAATCAAAGATGCAAATTTCAAAAAATCTGCGCTAAACCATCAACTCGTCATCATGGCTCACTCAGTACCGCCTTACCGGATGTTTTTCGCTGGCTGTGTCTTCGCCGGTGCGTTAATCTGTCTTTGGAAAATAAGCCCCAAAAGCCCCTACCTCGACAGCCGGACCATGCATGGTATTTGACCCCAACACAGGCACACAGCATATCGCCACGTACTCTGATAATTCTACATTTCAATCTCTCATCTCCAAGTTCATTTCTACATCCACACACGTCGGAATTGTCACTGTACTTCCAAATGCATATGATTAGTAGTATAACTACCATTAATGGGCCTAAGAGCATGTGAGATGTCATTTTGAAGAGTCTGGATGGAATGATAGGTTAAGCTTTGGGTATGAGATTGAAGGTGCCTCTTCTTTGGGAGGTGTTTTGATTTTATTGGACGGCGCTATAACGGTGTACTAACATCATATGCCTACGGACAAGGGCGAGTTTTTGCTTACTCTCCGGACGGTCGGAAGAGTCAGAATAGACGTGACTGTAAAAGATAGACCTCGACGGTTTATATGTTTGGCGCTTTGATTGAATTTGGGGGTCATGGATAATATATAATGTATAGAAGCATAAATGAAACAACAAGCACTAATTCTCAATATCTCTGTTTCAAAATAAAAGTGACAAAGGCAGGATGCCAGTGAATTTACTTTCGAAAAGATTGTTTGATTTTCCCAAAATACAGTCATTGGTACACTCATATCCAATGACTCCCAGAAGCCCTCGAATGTTGAATATACACTTCAACTCTTCAACTCCAAAATGACAATACATGAAAAAGACCTCCACATCCGTTTATGAGTAACCCAGCTTGTAATCACCAGACAAGTCACCACCTCACAAAAATAAAAAATAAAAATACACTAAGAGAAGGTAACAGACACCTTTCCACCATTGTTGAACCCTTGACAACCACCTGATGGCTGACCGCTAGCAAGACCATACGTAGCACCAGTCTGGCTTCCAGCAGCACAGTTGATCAACGAATAAGTACCTGCATTTCCGCATGTGTTCCCGCTCTTACAAGTAAAGACACACTTGGACATACTGGAGGTGCAACTGCCGACTTGGATGGTCATGGCGTTTCCACCCATGTTGACTTCGCGAGAGACGTCTACTGTAGCATAGGCACCGGTTGTGAATTCTCCCCAAGTATTAAAAACTTGGCCATACTGGCTCAGAGTAGTCTTTTGATTATAAAGACCAGCCCATCCGCCGGATACACCATTTGCCATGGAGATTGTAACGGATTGACCAGCGCCCAACGAATAAGAGACTTGAGGCTTTCGGGCGTTCATGAAGGAGCTTTGATAATCCCCCGCAGCTTGTGTCCAGATGATTACAGTGACCGGTGCAGCCGCACTGTTTTTGAAAACAAATGTGTTGGGTCCCTGACTTCCGATCCAGACTGCACCATTGGCAGCCTTCGCATTTGTTCCCATGCCGGCCATCCCGATGGTCGACATATGTTTGCAATCTGCGGCGGTGAGACCAGCAACAGGACTGTCACAAGAGAACCCTCGCTTCTCGAGAGTGACTTCACTAGATCTTGATGTTAGAAAAATCAGGATGGAGGGAATAAACATGGTACTAACCCCGGAACCGCGGGGGCAGTTAGAGCAAGTGAGAGCAAGCTCATCCCCGCGACAATACTGGAAATAGAAAACAACATTCTGGTAAATTTATTCGAAAAGCTGATATGTGAATCTTAAGTTGGGGCGTGTGACTTGAAAGAAGGGGAGTATAAGGTAAAGGAGTGACTTTTTAAATAAATATAATAGAAAATAAATTTGACTGAGAATAGATCTGAAAAGGAGTGACAAAAATGAGTGACAAAGTGCGAATGCAGAAGTTGTGGAAAAAAATCCGAGTACCGTTTTAAGAAGATCCAGACGCAGACAGATAAAGCTGCTGGTGGCTGCTTAAGTATAATAATCGAGACCATTCGTACGGCGCTGCTGATAACTGGAATGCTCGGCCTGGGGGTAGGAATGCCACCTCCAACAACAAAGAAAATGAAATGTTCCTACAGTACGTAGGATAAGAGTACGGATACCACATCATGTTTGCGAAAAGTTCTAGAAACGGCTTCGTCCCTGTCAAACTCTATTAAAAGTGCACTCAAGTCCATTGCTTCATGGGAGACTGTTTTCGAGTGTTACATCAGATCAAGGGCCTCAAGATACTATTTCCGGCACGTGCATGCAAAGGGGGAGCATCAAGCGATATCTTTTTGAGCTGTATGATGAGATCAGCCAATGGAGTGAGAGTAAATTCGTCGTAAGGATGCAAGATGAGGAGAGCCCATGTCAGCATCAACGAAATAATCTAATTTCCCGAGATCCTAATCGCGGGCTGTGTTCTGGCACGAAACAATCGAATATCACGATTTCTGAGACCGGAACAAAATTCTTACGCTGGATAGTATTATTATAGCGAATATCAGCTCTTATTGAAGAAAACATACCATGGCTATGTTTTGTAGGAAGAAACATAATTTTCCGTCAACAACTGCTCCCACAATCGTTTATCATGTCATCCTGTAACTGCCATGAAAACTTCTTGCTCGTCAATAGATATTCAGAGCTAATTCTCTTGGCAGCCTCCGTCCGACAGCAGTCCTCGAGTTTGGCGTTATTAGTGCGGGGATTTACCAGCCGCCATTCAATCGCCCTCGATTTTGGTCTAATAGCGGGGTTTGCGTTTCAGCGACACGTATACTATTCATTTTTGAACATCTGCACGCGTCACCACGTAGTTTTCTCTGGCCACGATTGCAAATTTGGGCTAGATGGAATGCGTGGTGGCTAAGTGAAGGATAAGGATATGAAGCTGGCTTGCCAAGATGATAAGGTCAATTGCTGAAGTTTGTTGTGTTGATAAAACAATAACAGTTGGCCCGTGCGCGTACCCTTCCCGAGCTATTCGGATAAAAAAGAGGCCGGTATTGACCATTCAAATGATCACTCACATCTTTTGGTCAATTGAATTATAATTCAACCAAAAACGAATGGGTAATGCTGAGTAAGTAAACCTGATAGCCAGCTTCTCATAAGTATTTTATCGTTAATACTACTCAGACCTACAACTCGATATCAAATTTGAGGGGGAAAGGCCAAGTTGTGAGAGGTCAAACCCGTTTTCTTCTCCGAACAGCCGAAGTAGAACGTGATGCCGTACACGTGATAATTATGGAACAATGAGATTATGCTTCTTCAACAGTAAAGAGGGCTATAACTTTAAGCTTACTTGATCACTTTCAGCCTCGATGCATCATTTGTTGACTTGATCGTAGAGCCAACTGATTTGGGATCTGGCAGAGTCACGTGATATGTACTTCCACAACTTGGGCGGAACGATATGAGAGGTCGACTGTGTGATTGGAAGCAGCAATTCGTTTTCAAGTTACTATTAGTTGAGGACTTATCGCAATCTACATGAACAGATTGGCAAAGAACCTTCCATAAAGATGCACAATTTTTCCTCTCCTCTCTCCTGTGTAGAAGCGACCCCAAGCTCATTTACATCATTCAATTATCACTCCTCGCAAATATGGATTTCAGCAGAATAATTCGAGTGTTTGGAGATGCCGAAGAAAATGTCGAGGCTTTGAGACCTCTCATTTAATGTATTCTATTAAAACTAGTATGATGACACAGGATGCTGGGATTTTAAACGAGGCATAGGCTTATATAATCACTCAAGTTTCCTCCTGACACATACGACCATAGACTGAGGAGAATTGGGAATCCCGTCCGCTCTGCCATACACAAGCCTCAGATCGGTAGATTAGTAGTTGGGTGGGTGACCACCAGCGAATCCCTACTGTTGTATGTTTTTGTCCTTTTTTTGTCCAGATATCCTAGCGAACTTCTTCCGTAGTTGGGTGTGGAAAGTCGAGGGGTGTGCCAGAACTCCGATGTTGATAATTAATTCCATATTTTTCCATTTTTACTTCACACACAGACTCTCAGCGTCTAGACTCTATCACACGATTCCGTTCCCTAGTTTAGAATTCAAGAACTTCAGCTCCATGTTCCATTTGCCGGGCCAAATCTACCACTCTCAGGTAATGAAAGCCATGGAAGACCATTTCCATCTGCCGTGTTGAGGTAAACTGTATTGCCTACAAGCTCAAACGTTAGTCAATCCTACTTTCACAAAGCATATTTGTGTTAAGAGAAAAACTTACCCCACCAATCTGGAAATTGAGCTCCAGGATATGTGATGCAGAAGAATATCACAATTGCTGAAAGTGCAAGACCCGTATCCAGTGCAGCTGCTAAGACGTAATTATACTTGGCTTTAATCTATCAGTATCAATACCCTTGTTTAGACGGAGTTTTACTTACACCACCACGCAAACCATTTTGCTTTGATCCACCAATTAAATGTCAAATTTACCAGTGCCCAACTACTATAGTTGATACCCGTAGCAGGTGGCACGTTATAAGTTCCAACAAATATCAACGGCCAGTTGATAAGTCGTATCCAGCTTCTCTCCTCACCGTTCCCCTTCCTCCAATATTTCCAGACAACCCATGTGGTTATCGGCATAAGTGCGCCAATCCAGAAGAAGTGCAACAGGCCAGAATAAATTTTGCCGATAGAATATACACGTCCTGGTCCAATTGCACCCCAAATGACGGAGGAAGAAAATGTTGTACGGCCATTTGGACACGTAAAACCATTCGACTGATCTTCTGAGCAGATATCTTTGACATTACCGAGCATCCATAAAGTCACTCCAACTTGTGTAAGCGCCCCAAGGATCTAGATCGAACCTATTAGAGACTGTGCGAAGAGATGCATACATAGGCCAACTTACAGTGGCACTTCCTTGTGCGAAAAAAAGAGTCCGAGGTGGCACTTTCATGTAATGACCTAGCTTCATGTCTTGAGCGAAATACAGGCCTTGGCCCACTACATCGGTAGAAAGAACCTTGAAAATTATGTCTGTAGTTGGTAAGTTACATCGTCTGTTGAGATGACATGGGAGACTACATACTCGCTAATGGTCGTCCAGTAAACATGTATCCGCCAATGAATTCGGCTAGAACGTTGAGTTGGTTGGCATTTACATTGGTTATCCCCTGAATAATACCACATGGAATCATGTAAAATGCCGGTATGATTACTGCCACTATAACAGCCCACCACGGCAAGGTTGTATCATAAACTTCAACCATCACGATACCCAATGCAAGCATTATAACCGTAATGATTCCATACCAATACCAAGGAGTCCGTGAGTAAAGGCGCATCAAACGAGCATGGATATCCAATTTAGTCCGACCAGCAAATGAATCAAGAATCTGAGTGCCATGCCAGAGGTATATGTGCACTGGAACAGCAGTAATGGCTGCAAAAGATATACCATATACAAAAGCGAATGTAGCAGAAAGGAATGCAGGTGAATACTCGGCATACGCAGTTTCGTTCAAGGTATTCGACGAAGTCATGATTCGAGAAACGTTATATAGAGACGCGGTGTTGTCGTATACATCAGCCGAACAAAGTGGAAGATAGGCTGTGTACCAAACGTTTGCATAACTGCGGATATGAGTCAATATTCAGGTTGCCTGAAAAATAATGTGCTTTGACCTACTAAAGACCAGGAGTAACAATCCAGAAGAAAATCACAAAACCACCGAATACATTTACGGCTGTGAGCTATTGTTAGCCCTATGGCTCGAATACATAGAATAGAAACACGACTTACCGGCCCACGCTGGCGAGAGTAGAGGGTTTGTGTTATATGCTATCTGTGACCAATCAAACGTGATTGGACTCAATCCGAGACCTGTGACCATTCCGAACAGATGGTTGACGATCAGGTTATTCGGAGCAATCCAACAGACCCAGGTGAAATATGAAAGAGCCACAAATATTAAACCAGGAAAGAAGTACCAGATCCCCGCTCCCACCATAACATACATGAAGAATCGCAATCGACTAATTTTCCAACCATTAGCGATTGCATTTGCTCGAGAATGCAATGTGGAAAGTAAAGCGCAATTAGACAGCACTCCTGGCCAGATTATAGATGCAGGTTCTACCAACCAAGGCGAGGATAACCCCGCAACCCCGAAGCCCATCATTTGACAACAAAGTACAATGAGAATTGAGAATCCAGGCTTCAACTCAAAGTTGTAGAATGCCTTTGCAGCTTGAATGATACTTGTTGAATCTGCGCTCCCATAACCAAAGCTCACATTGCTCATAATGGTCACCACAGTATGCTCCTTGATATTGAAATGCCTGTCGGGGTTGATACACCATTTCCCCAGAGGCCCTAGATTAAGAGTATAGAGGGGTAAAATCTTTGCCAAAAGTATGCCAAAAGGCATTGCCAAAAGTTCAGCAACGAGTGCAACAATGTGAACTGAGGGGTAACGAAGACTGAAGAATTGATTGATGCCAGCACCAATCATAGTGAAAGCAAACCCTAGAATCCACATCCTCAAAGTGTTGACGGGAATGGCTTGATCGTCGACATCTGGAACTACGGCTCTGACTGGAATGCTGTTAGTTTCACTTTGTCTTCAGAAGTTGTATTTATATCGACCTTCAGGATATGGCGATGTATCGCCTTCTATATCGTCCAGCCCTTCATCATTGAGTATTTTCCCAACGTCAACCTCCAGTTCTTGCATGTGGTGCGTTCCCACT